AATCAATCTACATAGCTTAATCGTTATGGAATTTTCTCTCAGTTATATTCTAATTCTAATTCTAACAACAGCTGAGCTCACAGAGATCCAAATATTTAGATTTCTGTGGCTGAGCTGCTTTTTTGGCTAACAGTCTGTCTATGGAAGTTTTCTAAATTATTCCAGCGTGCCTTTTAGGTCATGTCATGACTGACGAATATCAACATTGATGAATGCGGATGCAGACATTTTAATTCATGCAAATTATCCGTGATGCGAATACCGATATTCGCAACAACCCTACTGATACACACATGTCAACAAAAAGTCCATGAACAGAGTTATATAAAGACAATTTTTTTTGTTCAAATGCTCTTTGACTTCATCGATAAACTTTGCTAAAAGGACTGTCGCGCCCTTGCCAGACTGGAACCCAAACTGACAAAATACGTACCTACCTACTTACCACATGCCCAAGTGATCTAATTAAACTTTGAAGTCTGATATAGCGGAGGGCGACGTTTCCGCACATTGTGGCTGCGAACCGGGCCATGCCACCATATCGCCGCCCTACGACACCAATATTGCGTCATTGTGGGCCACATACTTAGTACAGCCGTAATAAGGTGCCGTTCAAGTACACAATCCCAGACGATACATTTGTATCCGTGTTAAGATCGTAAGCCATATTCTTTAAAATATATTAGTATAACATAATTATACGTATATAATTATACGTATGTACTAGTCGTACTAGCCCCGGTATGGCACCGACGTAAGATTTTTCTGCCACTGCCACCTAGAAAAGTACTAAACGCACCACATTTTCTTAAAGCATGTTACAAATCGTACGCGATTTAGAATTACTTCCTTACTACCGAGATAATTAACCTCGGATTAAATAAACACAATTTAAAAAACAATTGAGATAGATTTTTGTAGGCGTTTCCCCCCCCCCCCCCCCAAGGTTAACGTATCTTTTCGCATCAACATTGCGAGAGACATCACATATGTATATACCAATTAATCAAACGATTGTACGGGCTAACCATCGATCTGCCGATGAGTATTTTGAGCCTTATTCAAGTGTCAGTAAATATGTTTGCTATACAATTTAGTTCACATTTTACAAAACCCTCGTTATGACATCACGCAGTCCACTGTTGGCACAGCGCGGCGGCGTATAATTACTGTACCTATGTGGCACATTCTCGCGAATGTGCGGAAATGTGTCATCATAATTAAACAGTTATTTACATTATTATACAAAATGACTCTTTTGTAAATATTTAGTTTCCAATTGGTTACTTCTTCAGTTGAACAATCATTGAACATTTCAAGATTATTCCAGGCAGCCTGACCTTCGTCAAATTTTTTAAATATTAGTCAGGCAAAAGTCGACATTTAGTCGGTTCTAGTCGCAAAAAACTAGACTTAATCGGCGCGCCGCCCGTTTCAAAGTTATAAATGTATGTAATGTAATGTAACTGTCCGCGCTTTAATAAGCTTATTTATACAAGCTTATTATATTCCAACACAACCCATTCCTCAAACTCAAGAATACAGCACATAGTTTAGACCCAATTGCACTAAAAGTCACGATTTAGTCGATTCTAGTTCGACGGCCTCCGTGGTCGACTGACTTGCACACCGGTTTTCATGGTGTCGTCATCTCAGAGGTCCCGGGTTCGATCCCCAGCCGGGTACTGACCCGGGACTATGATGTCTACACTGGTAGAAAACTAACTTTTCTACATTGTCTCGGGTGTGGGTGTTTGTGGTACCGTCGTTGTTTCATATTTCCATAACACAAGTGCTTTCGCCACTTACTTTACTATGTGATGTTGTTTAATATTTGTCTAGTCGTAAAAAACTAAATTTAGTTGTTATGCCGTTAAAAAGTTACAAGGATATTTTACTATCCACGCTGGAGTAAGCTTATTCCGGCTGCACACACACGACATTTTTTAATCTCGAAATCTTATCTAAGATCTGATTGCACCCAGAAAGTCGTGAATTAGTCTGTTTTACTAGTAAAATTGTAGGATTATTCATTATTTTGTTTAGAAGATAACAGATTGTTATCTCAAGGTTATACCTATGTTAGTCTCGGAGCTCATTTACATATTTTGCGTAACACACAGCCAACTTTTTTCAAATATTTGACGGTTCTGAAGTTTTTAAAAGGTGGACGGACTAAATCTGGTCTACTACGACTAAAACCAACTAAATGACGACTTGTTATCTGGATAATCAAATTTCAAAAATTCTACTGTGTTCACACTGGAATAAGAGACGCTTCAAAATCATGGAATTCCTTGGACCTATTAAATTTAACTAGAGCACGATTTAAGTATGGTAATAAAAACTGCAGATAAAGTAGTTTTCGACTTTTTATTTACAATATATTAATATTCTCTTTTTATCTCTTCCCACGTTGCTTAAATTCAGTCCAGGCACTGTACGCACATTCATCATAGTGCATAGTACTTATTATAGAGACCTCACTTTTTAGAAATAAAAGCAAAGTGAGTTTTTGACAGAATCTATAAACTATACACCTACTGCAATAAAGATACGCCTTTGGCGTTAAAGAGATCGACTGCGCAGTAATCTCAAGCATATGGCTTAACTAAACAGTTAATTCTAACAGTCTACCACTAGTAGGGTCTAGTAGTGTAATCGCAAACAGGAATATTTGCAACCGTGCTTGTAAATTTAGAAAAAAAATAATTATATAAATCGTGAATAGGCGCCTTGACGTCGAGTTGCGGACACTGGCCCTTTACACCAAGTACCAAGTATATAAAGCGTGTTTCCCATTCACAATAACACTACTTGACCATAAAGAATTCGATTGATCTACAGTTATTGCACAACAAAACAACACATGAATAAAATTTTGACTGAAATTAGTCAACAAGTAATTTGGCGATTAACTACGTTATTTAAAGTAAACAATATATCTATGAAGTTAAAAAAGTATATCAGGGACGTTCTTTCCGTTTTTCCCATTAATGGTCTACAATTACAGGTGAATAATTCTCGAAAGCAGTTGGTTCCATTAACTAACACTCATTTTAATTAATTAATGTTGTCGCATTAGTTATAATGGGTGGTTCCATGACAGAACTTTATAGTGAATATTTTGTCATTGCCTCAAGAGTTTAGCTGAATAATTCTGTTCATTCGCTAGTTGTTTATTATGAAATAGATAAATAGTCCAATGACTCTAATGAGAACTTTTGGGCAGGACACGCATTCACTCACCCCTTCTTTGATATAAATCATATTCTAGTTTTAATATTTTATTATCTCCTAAATGTAAAGATCTATTCACTATATAACATAGTGAAATTTCAAGTGTTAAAATTTATTATAAATTTGTAAAAAGTGAGGTCCGTGCTATTTTGGATGACGAAGATAAAGGATCAACAACTTTTACTAACTTTTTAAGCCAATCTATTAGTCATCCAATTTTTTACTAATTCGCTAGTTTTATTGCTGGATTTATAAGTTCTGTAATTGGTGTAACCATCTATGTAGATTAGATAAATATCTCAAACTATACAATAGAAATAATACTCTCTTTGTTCATAAGAACTCTTACATGAGAGTATATAGTCGATTGTATAGAGGTGAACTCAACTGCTTTAAACACAAACATTATAAACAGCAGTGCAGCTCATAAATACAGACACAGTCAATCGCCACAGCAAATTGTACTTCATATCAAATCTAACTACTAAAAACAATACCTCAAGCGCCTCGTATCAACAGGAAACCTATTTATGTTTCTCACGTGCATTGTATTCGTATCTTTTTTTAACAAGAGAAAAAGATCTAGCTGTACGGCCGGCAAAGCCGCTGACTATGATCAATGCCTTTATGCGACTAAGATATTTTATAGCCAATACAAGAGGATGCTACATAGGAAACTTCTAATAAATATTATAAAAATACACTTTTTATTCTACACCGCCACTTGTTAATAAACGGAGAAAATTTCAAAAATTGTTCACTGCACAAAAAATATTTTCACATTTTTTTTTACACTCGACGACAAATATCGTACATTTTTGATGAAATGAACTAAACAAAACTTCATCTACGTGTGCGCGATGCATGCACATAGTAAAAAAATTGCGAAAACAGTTATAAAAGTTCCGTTTATGTGTTAAGCAGTCCTTTAAATCTTCTCATCTGTACACAAACAACAGTACATATTATATTTCTGCGATATCAACATGTGAAACTTGAAGCCCATTTCACATCATCAGTGCGCAATTTCACTAATGGAAATTTGAGATCTTTCTGTCTTTACTCATAACTAATTAACCTAAAAAACGGTCATTTAGTTATACATCTTTTGATATGCGAAACCATGTAGCTATCACAAAATAATACAGAACCGTGTTTGAACCCAGGAAATGTAGAAAACAATTATAAAGGTTTTATCCTATCCATTGTAAACATTATGTACCTCTACGACAAAACGTAAATGAACTATATATAAGTAGTCTTTATTTTTTTTTAAAATTTAAAGTACAGAACGACTAGAATCCCATGGAAAAATATAGCGGTAAAGGCTGAAAAGGGAATTGTGACCCTTTAAGGGGTTTTAGTACTAAAGGCACTTTTAAATTAGACGCTGTAGAGCTGCAGCCGCGCGTCTGTAGCGCTTCAGTAATTCTAACTTCATTAATTGTGACTGCAGAAGTGGCGCGCGCGTGTCATGACAGTGACGCCTCAACTGTGCTTCAAAATATTATTTAGTAGCAGTAGAGCTCCTTGTGAAAGAGTTCGTCCCGGGAAGTACTGCCAATTTACCTGTTTCTGCCGCCATGCAGTACTGTCAGCATTACTGTGTTCCGGTTTTGAAAGGTAAGGGAGCTGATGAAATTACAGGCACATGGGACTTGTCAACTTACGTTTCAGGGTGCCGGACGCAGTGGCGGTGCTCCTCAGATCTTTGTGATTTAAAATCCTGAGTGGCACTGCAACTGTAATGGACAGGCGTGTGGCGTACCACCACGCCCACGGCTTGTACGTCCCGTCACTTGGTATCATAAAAAAAATATTGTATGAAAATTAATAATGACGCGGCTGCAGCGCTTCTATAAGCGTCTAATTTAAAGGCCCTTACGCAATTAATCAACTATTGACTTAAATCAATGTTGTGAGTGCTAGAAATAGTTTCGAAAAAATCAACAAAAACTCGAAATCAATGTAATCAGCGCATAGAGAATCTTCTTGATCAGTTCTCAAGTACAGAGTTGCCTCACATTGCCACAGCCGGTCTCCGACGCTACGATGCATTACAACGACTTATGCCACATAAACTTTATCTTCTAAACGATAAGGCAAACCAAAAACGAAAAAAAAGATGCAGCAAGCTGCGCCGCCAGGCGCCGCTTCACTTCCAATATTTGAGGCAATTTGAGGCGACTCTAAGTAATATTATAGTGTAAGTTAGATATATTTTTTTAATTTTGGTCTAAACATTGTACAATGGATCATTTGAAGGCTGGAATTAGCGTTGCATGATAATAGCAAAATATTGACAAACGTACCACTGCAGCTGAACCACCTAAATACTTTATTATTATGTCTAATAATCACACTTTTGAATTGCAACTTTGTTATATATTGTCATGTCTGTGTTACACATACAACAACAAATAATCAATTATTCCATTCGAAAATTTTGTTCACTAGGAAGTTTATCGTCAAACAACATTTACAAAGAGATAAACCGTAACCTAAACAGCTAAGACTCTTAAGTTAACTAAAGACCGAGTAATATGGGGCTATTTTTAATTACACAGTTGAAGTGTAGAAGTGTAGTTTATCGTAAAACTAACTCACTACCACTAGTCGATAATATAATTATATACTAAACAATGTTTTATCCATTATACTCCAGCTTATTTCGACTTTAACCTTTGTTCAATTGGCAGCAAAATAAACTACTCAATAAAAAGTTGTCTTAAAATAACCCCATATTTGCCATTTACAACACATTGGTAGCAACTACAGAAGAAAACAAACCGATATAAACGACGGCAACACCAAAGCATTAATAGCGTAATTAACAATGACAGGAGATAAAACAAATTGCTAATTAAGTTTAGTAAGCACTGCGACACTTTCAGGGTTTTGTTCAGATACATAGACTTCGTAAATAGTTACATGCTAACTTTTTTTTGCTCAAGGAATTAGTTCCATAAACTTGTTACATTATCGAATATATTGGGAGACGAGCATAGATCACAAGTTCTTATTTGCGAATTTCTTAGCGTAACGGCCTACCCTACTTTACATACGAATGTCTATAACAGTAAGTTGGTGCAAGTGAGCAATGAATATTTCTTAACCATAAGAATGAAAAGAGATCTAAGAGTCAGCGGATAATATAGTCGTTCGTTTGACTTGAAACGGTCTCTCCCAGTCGAACAACATGTTTTTCAATGGGTCCTACACAACCTTAACCATTTAATGAGAGCTATTCGACAAGTTTATAGTTTAAAATGTCGCAGTGCGGATTCGAGTAGCGAGGGATGATGAATGACAGAAGCGAGACGAGGCGACATCACGTGAGCCGGCACGACGGCAAGCGCCCGCACGACGAGTGCCACCGGCGTTTGCGCCGCGTCGACTCGGCATCGGACAACTCCGCCGTCGATAGTGTTCGAGATCCTCCATCACCTAATTCTGAAATTCAGAAAATTTTCATAGGTCTCTGACAGGTGGTGATACACCAAAAAAGGCCGTTTAAATCCAAAAATAAAGATCAGCAACGAGCACATAGATAATTTCGTAACGTAGCTCAATTGGAAGATCGGTATCTCTATCCAACCGGACGGAAGGAATTTTTCTTTGTGCTTGTATCAATAATAACACCAAACTAGTCACCAGTTTGACAAAAAATATATGCATATCATGGGAGAGTAAAATAAAAACATCATTATTCAATAAAATAAAAATTAAGAAAATTGACAACCACTTATTGCAGTGTAAACACGAGATACAGTTAAGTGTAATATTATTATAACCTCCTAAGACCCAGCAAACTACAATAGGAGAAGCGCTGAACGCCCAATGTACATCAAAACAAATGAATTATAATTACATGCTTTAGGCCCAAGCAAGTATGCCTTCGGTTTTGTATGAAAAACATAACGTACATACATACCCTATGGTCATAATAAAATATATAGCTCCAAATTCGAATACGATATTTACACATTTAATGTATTGGCGTTTACATGATTAGGAATAATATTATATGGGTCTGAATAACTTCGGGCCTTAGAATGATAATAGATGTTATCAGTAACTCCAAATTTGTCATTGACAATTTAATGTTAAAATATCAACTTGGATAATACAAGTGAGGTATGGGTTAGATCAGTTAATTAGCTTTTATCGTAAAGGGATGTAGCAGAAATTATATGCAGTTTTTACACCGGTTTCCAATAGAAAACAAAATGCTAATTCTACATCAAACATTTGCACCCGCGATCTCACTCACTCACTCATTCATAGTTAAACTTTATTATATTAAAAGTTAGTCAAGGATTAGTAAGCGTCCCACAATAATCATTTATTTTATGAGTACAGTATGGCTCAAATACTGTTCACCGTACCGGTATCCCACTTTCTAATAACAAGTTTCTTTGAACATCATTTCCAAGATGATTATATTAATACATTCTCGACCACATGAACTACACATTTCTGTTCAAAGAAATGTGACAGAACGGAATCGAAAAGATACAACAAGATCATGTGTTCTATTAAAAAAATAATATACATAACTTCATAAAGAAAAAAGAGATCCATAATATTCACTTTAGAACTAAGTCCAAAGTCATGGTACCACGATTTCGATTAACTAATGTAAACGATTATTTCATGGGGTACTGCGTTTTTGCAATAAGATTCAGGAGCATATATAAAGATTATCATTTTCTAATTATAAAAAACTTATATCAAAAATATTTTAATTGAAAAGCCATGTTAAAAATTTAAAGACTACGTGTTAGATAAAGATGTATGGCTCTATATTCTCTATACACAAATCAAATTGAATTGAATAATCAAAGTGTTTAAATTTACTTGAAATGAGCAACACCTAGAGTTTATTTCTCATTCTTCTCACGGAAGTCAGCACATTGAATGAGCAGTAGCTTAAAAAATTACATTTTCAAGTTATTTTACCTACGGAATAAATGTTTTTTTTACTTTCATTTATTTCGCATAAATTAAAACAACGGACTTGAGGAAGTGTCCGTTGAATGTTTTGAAATACGACGAACTTCGTTTTGTCCTTTTGGCAAGTTAGTAAACCATAGAAAGTAAGATATGCATTATCAACAGATGTTGCCAAGCCCTCCACTTTCCCGTTCCCTACAATATCGGTTTGAAGATATTCATTGGAAAACCACTCATTTATTCAATTTCAGGATGTTAAAAAAGTACGTTTGAAATACATACAGAGTAACTCTACTCATAGTACTAAAACAACTTTCCCAAAAGAACATATTATATCCAATTCGCAAGATAAATTTTTCTTCCAATACGAGACACAATCAGCTGTGTACGGTCCGTCTGTACAATTCAGTCAGGAGAAGTCGTCTTCTTGCGTCGAAGGTTTAGTCAGGACTGTCCTCATCGTCCTTTGTCAAAAGAAAGGTCGGTCGTCGTCTTTAGACCAAAAGAAACGTCGGTCGTCGTCTTTAGACCAAAAGGAACTCGGTCGTCGCCTTTTGTCTAAAATAAAGTCGGTCCAGTAAGTCAATCTTTGTGGCCTAGCAATCTGGTCATCCATGGAGGCTGGACGCGACATTTCCCCTCCAGTATCTGCCGTACAAGCTGATCGGACTATTACAAATGAACTTATGTTGCTTATGTAAATTGTTTGTGTTTTAATACGGGTATAGTCACATTATGAAATTTCAGATGTACATTTTAGAAATGTATAGATTGCGAATTTTTTTTTAAATTTATGCTTCTCATTGTTAGATAGCAAAATACTTATATATTCGACACGCATCGCATGCAACGAACCTAACTCAAGGAGCAAATGCGAGCGCGTACACGTCCGGCAACGGGCGTCTCGCCATCCTCTGCAAAGTTGTACTACATAATATGCATTGTAAAAATTTAGATGGAAAGTTAGACTACATTTCTTTTTGTATTATTCACATTATGACCCCACAGTAAGCTGTAACAGAGTTAAACACCGACAATAATTAACATGCTTTAAACTGAGATTATAAAACACTAGTTATATGTAATTAATTATTAATTATTTGCATATGATTTTTTAAGATTTGATAAGTGCCATGTTTTTGTCATCAAGAAATACATTTCAACAACCGATACAACGATGTACTCGTATTTTAAAATGACACGGATAAAATACGCGCGTAATTCAGCGACTTTTCTTATTTATGTCCCTGAATGAAAAAAAGTTGTATTTACCATTTCTAAGATCTCTTTCGGTGAAGTACTCGTGTGTCGACCCGTAATGCCGTTCTACGAGGTAAGGGATGACGGTGGAGTTGTGGAATTCATCCGAACGTCGCGATCGCACCATCACTAACTTCTCATTCGGCTCCAGCGCAGGCGTGGCTTGCACCCATCTAGACCAATATAAATTAAATAAATTAAAGAAAATATTTTAGTACCATTAGAGCTCCTTGTAAAAGAGTTCGTCCACAGAAGTACTGCCACCTTACCTATTTCTGCCGCCAAGCAGTAATGTGAGCATTACTGCGTTCCGGTTTAGAAGGTGAAGGGTGCTGGTGAAATTATAGGCACACGGGATTTGTCACCTTATGTCTCAGGGTGACGGACACATAATATAAAATAATATAAATAATATAATAAAATAAAATAATAAGATCTTTGCGATTTAAATCTCTGAGTGGTGTCGCTTACCACCAGACGCAAGATAATATAAAAAATAAAATATAAACAAAACTAATTTATTAATTTTGTATATATAATGGCTGCCCTGCTTCTGTAACGGGTTGTGTAAAAGCAAGAGTCGATTGCTTTTAGGCGACCATGCGCAAGCGAAGCACGTAACTGGTGCGCCGGGTGCGGGCCAGCCCCAACCCTATCCTGTCGATAGCGAATAAGCTCGACCGTCCGTACACGAGGCATTGTTGAGTATTGCATGTATCCAGCAGTATCTATTGTGTATAATATTATACCGTACTAGTATTAGTCTTAAGTGGTTTACTAACATATTACATGAGTAACTGTTAATCAAAATAAAATAATAATTATTATATTATTCTAATAAATGCTACAGTCAATCTCACCAATTGTCTGGGTGCAAGGTAGGGAATTGTCCTGCTAGCACCAGACGAAAGCACCACTCAGAACACCCCGACCCGAAACAATTTGAAAAAGTATAGATTGATATGGAAAAAAATTCAACCCAAGTTTGACGACTCCCGAGGTCAAGTGACTTACATACCGGTTTTCATGGTGTCGCCTATCTCTGAGATCCGGGGTCCGATCCCCAGTCGGGTCAATGTAGAAAAACGAACGTTTCCATAACACAAGTACTTTAGTTGCTTACTTTGGGATCAGAGCAACGTACGCAATGTTAACTAATATTAATAAAAAAAAAGACAAATGCAACTATTTTGCACGATTTAACCTCTACTAGGTTCACGTTACCAAATAAATTTACTTTCATTATTATTAACATGGACTTCCGCAAAGTAACGCCCGAATCTATTAATTATTTAAGTGATTGATTGTTAATTAACAATGAAATTAAGCAAATTATGGTAATTGAAAATGAAACTATTTTTTTTTCGGTTCAAAATACGCGTGCCTATATTTGTTTTTTCGAACAAATCACCCTACTGTCGAAGCACGACATCCATATTTACGGCCATTTTCTACTACGGATGACCTACAGACTTGAGTTTCGATCGGAGCTAGAATATATGACAAGGTGATTTGACAGTTTCGAACGGGCCCGTCTTTTCGTTGACGAACTTTGAGAGTAGTTTCCGTAGTGGGAAAGCGGCCGTAACTACGGACTTTGTGTTTCGAGAGGCCCCAGTTTCGCACTCTTTAAAGGCCCCATTGCATTTAGCCGTAACCAAGATACCTGTAAAGAGTCCGGAACGTGTATGGCAATCCTTAAAATCTTATAGATAAATTAATGTTATATTTAAATAAAAATATACACCTTTTTAATAAATTAAATATTAAATGAAACAGAAAAGTAGAGATTTAAATTTGTAACGAAACTTTTTTCACTTTTTTCATCAGAAACAATATACAAAGCAAAAACTCTTGAGGAATTCTATATTTTATGTCTATTTAGAAATACAGTATAAAAATGAAATAATTACACTGAGTTTACCGCGGAAAAACACGCAAGTAAATTAATCACACGATAGAGGAACTATATACATGACAACAAAACTATCATTTGTATGAAGTACGTAAACAGATATAATAGATACTGGTTTCCTTCTATTATGCAATTTAATCACTTAAGGCTTACTATGTGAGTGACATTGACGTCATTTAAAGGATGATAGTACTTTATTATTATTATTATGATACCAAGTGACAAGTTGTGCGCCTGGTGGAAAGAGACACGCCTGTCTTTAGTAGTTGCAGTGCCACTCAGAGCTTTAAATCTCAAAGATCTGAGGGGCACTATCACTGTCACCCTGAGACCGTGCCTGTAATTTCACCAGCACCCTTACCCAAGAAACCCGGAACGTAGTAATGCTCACATTACTGCTTGGCGACAGAAATAGGTAAGGCAGCAGTACTTCCCTGGACGAACTCTTTCACAATGAGCTCTACTACTACCCATCAACACGTAAATATCGCGAAAATAATTTTAATTGTTCCCGTTGCTTTCTATTTGTCCACAAGTGCCGAATATGAGTTTTTTTTTCATTGTCTCTTTGTCGAGAGGATTTGATTGGAATATTCTACAGCATAAGCAATATTACTGTCGGCATTGACCATTACTTAGTTTAAGTATGTACAAATTTACAGTCCAATAAAGCGTCCTTGAAGGCGCGTCGTCAAACGTGCGTTATCGCTGAAAAACCTTAGTGAGATTACATTGTAAGCCAAGATCAGTTAGTCACTTTCCAATTCACTTCCATTAACAGGAGTATAACAATAGTAGTTAAAAAGATTTTTGCAGAATGTACTGACTTTTGCATTTGCATAATAAAGAAAAGGTTTTATAGTTAATCAAGATAAGAGACAGAGAACTATAATGGCAGTTGCATAAGAAACAACAATACAATAATCATACTGTACACTCCACACAATAATGTGAAATGTAGAACAGTGTCTATGTGCGAAATTCATACGTCTAGATCTACTTGTTTAGACAGTGTGTTGATTTGCACTCTCGCCATATTTAAGAAATTAATAATAGTAATAATGCTAAATCATCTAAAAATATTTAAAAAATATTCTGTTCAATATTCTGGCAAATTGTAGAATACAATATGATTGAAATTAATAAATAGAATAGAATACGTTTATTTGCCAGAATACAGTAATTACATAGGTCTTAATTAAAATTAGGTACATTGTATTCAACCTGCAAGCAGATGTGCAAATATGAATGGGATTTGTTCTGGCAAACTGTAGAATAGAATATGATTGAAATGAATAGAATAGAATACGTTTATTTGCCAGAATACAGTAATTACATAGGTCTTAAGTAAAATTAGGTACATTGTATTCAACCTGCAAGCAGATGTGCAAATATGAATGGGATTTCATGTTTAGTCTCTAAACATTCAAATTAATGTAATGAATTTGTAAATTCCAAGCATTCTTTATTACTATAGAAGCAATGTGTCAAATCCATTTTGTCAATTGCAATTTAAAAGTATGTCGTCGTAACAATTTAATTTCATTTGGTAATTTATTGAAAATAATTAAACACATGTTGAAGCAATTATTCTTATAAATTACTTTACTTTATGTATCTAGTAAATAGTGTCTAGTATCTAGTAAGTTTTACAAAATTGTCCCTAAATCGTATGCACCGCGCGAGAGCAGTGAACCCGCCATCCGCTTCACCGAGTGACACGTAATCTTTCTCAATCGCTTATTTACCTATTTTTGAATTACGATTATGTACTAGTATTGTTATAATTTACTAAGTATTTACATTAATTAGAAAAGTTGGCGAGAATGCAACACAAACATTGTTGTTTTACCATGTCATCTACTTAACGATACGGTCATTTCGATATCTAATCCTTTCGCTACCAAGTCATTGTAAGTTATAGTCTTTCTACATAATGTGGTCGTTTTGCGATTTACTCCTTATGCTGATGAGGTCATTTTAAAGATATAGTCATTAATAAAATGTACAATTTGGATTGTTGGTGTCGCGGTGCTAGGCCATGGCGAAGTATATCAATCAGCAAGTGAAGGTATTTTATGGCGAGCTGTTCATTCTTGCACCAAACGTATTCCAAAAGTGTATTTACTTAAAAACCGAAAATAATGAACATATTCCTGTTTCTTTTTGTCCATAGGGATATGTCGACTGATGTGATGGTGTTTGGGACTAAAGCAAAGTACTCACGCATGTCGTCTGATCTCCTGTACGTTGGGCCGCAACTCGGGGTCGCGTTTAAGCATGTTTGATAACAGCGCCCCGAGAGTTGGCCCCAATGTGGTAGGCGGCGGCGCCGGCTCGCCTCGTCCTATTGCTTCCAGTAGCCTGTACACGTTGTCGCCCTCGAATGGATACCGCCCCGTGGTCATGTTGTACCTGGACAGTAATTCATGATTATTTAAAATTCAAATGACTCATTACAAATTGACTTCAATAAATAAATAATTGCATCATTAGCAGTTTAGATTGGTACAATAGATAGTGTTAAATTGACCAAGACAGATGATCGGACGGCAGCGAAAGCAAAATTTAATAACACATGTGATTTAGGCAACAAATCGGTTACATAGTATATCAAACATGCGTTACTTAAAAATAAAGTATATTATAAAATATATGTATTATCAAGTTTTGTTAAATGATAACATGCAATAAATAATTGGGTCACGGCAAATTTACAGATGTACATACAAAACATTGGACAAACTTAGAAATAAAGTTGTCAATAAATCACCTTGAAAAGTTAATTAAACGATTGACCCGAGCTGATTTAAATACGAACACAAGGCGGATTTAGAACAATTGCATCACCATCCAAAATTACCTTTTGTTCTATATCTATATATGTATAAGTCTAAGTACTTAATAAAATCACTCACAAGTCATACTATTAGTCACCAACTTAGACATCATATAAGACAACATTTAAAAACACGACGCAATACTACAAAGGTTACATTTCCACAATATATAAAAAATTAAGCGGGAAAATACATATCAGTGTCTAATCTTTTGTAAATAATAGAAATTATTTATAAGTGCAAGCTAAAGCCTCGTTTACCCTGGCTTAAGTTGGAATTGTTCTTGTTATCTGTACAAAACAAATGTGTACATACAATGTGACTCCACTGCTCCAAATGTCAACTTTGGTTCCGGAGAACTGTTCAGCACCATTTGCTATTTCTGGAGGTTGAAATGCTGGGGATCCCTGTCCTGTATAGCATGTGTCTTCAGGAGAAAACATGTCTAATGCCTGGAAATAAAGATATGTACTTTAATTATACATATGTTTAAAAAGTATCTAGTAAAGACAGAAAAGAAACTTTCGCGCAAGAGGGACAGACGGCGTTACACTCACTGAAGCAACGCACTATAAAGAAATATGTTAAATGTGGATGAAACAAACAATATTCCTCGTATTATACAATGTGTTAGGGCACGCATTGTACAAACTTTAAGGAGAACATTGATCTAGAAAACTAAGTATAAAAAATCAAAATGGCTGCCATTCCTAGGGAGTTGAGTTTTGACCCCACATGTGCTAGTGTTTTCCACATAATATCCAATACTGAACACCCCCTTAAAGTTTGTACAGTGCGTGCCCCAAAACATTGTATATTAATATGGTGAAATTGGGCACATGGGACTTTGTCTTAGGGTGACGGGTGCAGTGGCAGTACTCCTTCAGATCTTTGCGATTTAAAGCTCTGACTAGCACTGCAACTATTATGAACAGGCGTGTCGCTTACCTCCCGGCTCACGACTAGTTCGTCCCGTCACTTAGTATCATAAAAAAAATATTCATTGAAGCGATTCTGACATAAACAGATTTTTATTTTTATAATTGTTATAGTTAATTGGTTCAACTTACGACTTTCCTAATGAGTATGCCACAAGAAAGCTAGTACCTTATCAACAACATCAAGATATTCAGATTTAATGAGCATGTCAATCAGATAGCTCAACTGAATACAAGAATAAGTTGAGTTTTTTTATTGATTTGGATGTGACAAGCATCAGTTACATAAGTGGTATGTGATTAAATCTTATAAATACCTATCTACATCAAGCTTAATTCGCAACCTTGGCAGCTCGGTGGTTAATAATTCTGGATACTAGCATGAGAATTTCTAGGGTTGAACCAATGTAACTAACAAAATTCAAAATTTTTACTAATCTGAGTGTTATGGGAATCAGATTTAATTGAGTTAGAAAGCTGAAGCCGAAATTATTAGGTATATACTGTGAATTACCGGCACGCTTCTGTGGGTGAAAATTATTATTAAATAATTTCTTAAAAGACTTCTCACCTCAGCAACTCCAAAGTCAGTTATTTTAAGTGTTTGATCTAGTGTAAGTAGAAGGTTCCCAGGCTTAATATCCTTATGCACCACGCCTTGACCATGCAGATATTCCAACCCGTCCAGCAGTTGAATGAAGTAGTCGTGAGCTTGCCGCTGCGGGAACTTTTTCCCTGGACTTGCTTCTAACATATCCTGAGATGGAAAGTATGTTTTGATGTTAGAATGAAGTAAAATTGGCAGACTTCACTCAATGAGGAGTAATCACTTCCTGGATGACTTAGTATAAATTATTACAGAAAATTTTTTGTACTTTCACTGAGTTTACTAAATAAACATTTACCGCATATGTGTCCTTGATAACTACTTCATCTCTGAACTCTTTTAAAAATAGACTAGATATACTATAAATAAAATAAATAAAATGCGCATTTATTTCGGACAACGTTGATCCATAGGGTGTTAGTATTACAAAACGAACTTTAAATAATAACTATGTTAGTACCTAAACTTAAATGGAGAGAAGACTAGTGCCTTAATAGGCCACTGTCCCACCTGTCAGCTACAACAGACAGGAGTCTGTGACGGCCGGCGCGCATCCTGCGCATCGACGCGCTGCAGCGCTTGCGCAACGTCGCGCCGAATCCGTCGACATTTGCGACCGCGAACATTCCGGAAGCGCTACAGCGTCGTGGAAGACGTAAAAGCACCATAAATGCGTCGTTGTATTGGACCCGCAAAGCATCGTGAGATCGTTGTGCGAACCTGCTCCATAGACTGCAAGAATACAACGATGTACAGTACGCTTTAAATAATGTTATTTTTACTTGAGCTGTACATCTGCTGAACCTGCGCGCTATCATGTTCGATCTCATGGCCAATGCTCTGCGCTCCCTCTCGATATCCGTCATCACGCAGATCGTCGGTTACTATGTGCCCTAGATATTTAAATGACGTCACCCTTTTCAGTTGTTGACCGTAAAGAAATATGGGAGGGACATGTGATGGGCACCTACTACCTGCCTTAAAGACCATGTACTACTATATACGACAAAGAAACACTAGGTGCTTAGTATAAAATAAAAGAATAAAATATACATTAAATAAATTGTGTTCAAATTATTTTTCAATTATGACCACAATTAATGAACGAAACTTTACTCAAAGAATTATAAAGTTCCAAGAGATTTGTATTTCTAACTATCAATTTTTTAAACTTTTTAAAGCTAAATATTTTTTAGTAACAATTGCAAAATATCTATTCATTTTACGGTGAAATATACACATCTCACGCTTAAAACAAGTTTAAAACCTATTCAACAGTGATAGATATTTTATACTATATTAATAATAACAACGCACACACTCAACATAGCCCCGCACTAGGGAAACCCTGTGTCGCGGATGCCATGGACACACACATAGACAACTACAAATTACACCCAAACTCACGAGAGAAATAAATGTGGGCCATACAAATATTTCCCCTGGCCCGTGAATCGAACCCAGGACCTCTGCGTGGCAGTCAGCAGGCATGGTAACCGTTCGGCCACGGAGGCAGTTTAATAAGATTCTTAGGTTCCGTGAAACATAAAATGAGAAACAAACATTTCCTCTGTATATTATTATTATAGACCAAAAATAGACACTGGTGTTAGCACGATGAATACACTCTTGGCCTTGATATAACATATGAACTAATATGAGTAAAAACATAGTATATTTCATTATGCAAAAGAGGGAAAAATGTGAACAACAAACTTGTTTTTATACAAATATAAACTTATGTAGGTTAATAGTCTGACTGTACTTGTACAGTGTTGACACAAAAGAAGTGTAAAGATGTGTAATACTAACTGGGAGTATATAGTGTAACAATTTGGCATTCCATTTTGAGTAATAAGTACTATGATACTCTACTGATCAGAAAAACTGCTTTACTATTGCAACAGATTGGCATCAAACATTAAATTACATGCATATTGCCATGGTAGTGCAGAATAAACTGATTTCCGCAACTCGACAAGTTAGCGTCTTTTTACGTGACTTGGTGCATGCCTACAGGAATTTCAGCATCTTCTTGATGTTGCTGAACACTTCAAGGAGTGACCTAGGTGCGCTGAGGCGGTTCGCGTTGTAGATGGCTTAGCCACATTGTTTCCTCCACCCTTTAAGGCATAAGTTAGCCGTCGAAAAACTAATGTTACGATTTAAAAACTATCGGAATAAGCGGCGACGACTGTAGGGACTACTTCCCGGAACTACCCATAAACCGTAAGGATTGTCCAAATATAGTAGGCATTTAGTTTTGAAACTTTTTGTATTGTAATCCACTGGCAGAGAAAGGACACATTGACTATAATACGGCATCAAGACAAACCCAAATAGGGTTTAACAGTGCCTTACAACATTTATGTATACTTTTTTCTAAAAATAATAAAATAAAAAAGAAATGAAAAACTTTCCATTCAAGTCCTCTTTAGACTACTTAATTCGCTGCATTTTTGTCACGTGACCTAGTATGTTTTTTGCTCCACTGTTACATAGTGATGTAATTCCATTCATGACCCATGACACTCATAGATGAGCTCAGAGTTTAATATTAACACTATTCAAAGTAGTGACTCTTACAGCTTCTGTTGTAACTTCCATACTGTATTCTGAACTTGAGGTATTGTATAGCAGTTAATAAGTTGTTTTGAAATCTTAATATTGTGATTTTCAGGAAATAGCAAATGCAATTGTTTTAGACCCTGTGAATCTGTACACAAGATCAAGACACAAACCTCTCCAAAGCTCAAACAAATGGGGCGGCATTGCTTAACTACTATACTATGGCGCTGTTGTTGTCTAGGTGCTTGTTCCAGTTCAGTGTGTTGTGCAGTATTTCTATAAAATACTGTACTTCAACCAACATTAACCACAGTTTTATATTTTTGGAAGCTGGTAAAGTCGGGATTATGCAGTGGTTGCTAATTTTTTACATGTCCTGCGCCATAATTCCTTGATCTTCCATTTAGTATACTCCAAGCAATTGATATGTGCCATTATTTCAAATGGTGCATGTTGTAATGCTTAGCTGGATATATTGACCAAAGTAATACTCAAATCAAAACATTATACTACAAGAGAAATGCAAATTCCATAGTTTCAGAGCCAGGTTTTCATTCATAGGAATTGTCCAAAAAACTTTCAATCTTGATCTCGGGAAAACAGAGTCAGAAAGCACGGCTTATTAAATTTTTTGCCTAAATTTAAAGTTGACACATTCAAAGCAGTTCTATGAGTGGTGCCAAGGTAGCAGTGATGCTTGCGAGTGAAATACAATAGCATTTATTCAACATGTCTATGTTACTTAATGTCAGTGGTTATTTTAACACCTAAAACCTGATTTTCAATAGAAACATCAAAAGTAACATTTTGGGAAACTGAAAAAAGAAATAAAAAACATATGAAATAAAACTAATAAGTTTTTCTAAAACTAGCTAAAATGGCTGGTGTGATATGTGCGTAAGTGGCTTTTTAAACATCCAAGACTTTTATGTAAATATAATATTGACAAAATTAATACTGGTGTCATAATACAACTTTAATAAGATTGTAAAGCAATTTTCTTTCTTGGTAACACTCTAAAAACAAACTACAAATTCCCAATTCCTGGAAATTTCTACAAATGCATCCTGGGAATGAAAGACCTACTGTTTTATTCTGAAATCCCAAAATAAAATAAACACACATAGACCTACTTAATGCAGTGTTAGCTCAATAGTAGCATAAGTAACCAATAAGAAGTGTCTTGAGCATTCAAAAGCCCTGAGCCCTGCCTACAGTGCCAACCACTGTAGAGAAGCTCTGTCCTTGGACAGGAATGGCATCAGAATGCTCACTAGTCTTAACAGGACACTGGGGCTCGAACAAGTACATGTGAAATATTGGGCAGAGAGTGAATAGACAGTGTAGATTCTGCCATGAGGTGGATGAAACTCCTGCTCATCTTCTCATCCAATGTTACTTCCTGATGGGTGTATGAAGCTCCATACTGGGAAGGCACATCCCACAACCAGAAAACATTCTGGCATCTGTGGGAGCCAGGAAAGTCCTTCCGTAATTAGTGGTGATCACAATAGATCACCTGATGGTCGTAGTGATGAGGGGCTACATATGCCCGAAATGAAGCAACGCCAACAAAAACAATAACTAATAAATAGGTCCTAAGATACAAATTCAAATATCAGGATGGGCCTGTAGTCTATTCAAATCAGCTGCAAAGATTGTCTACATCAAATAGATTTCAAATGTACATAAAAAAACAACATAAAACTTGCGTGCTGGGAATGTTAGACACTCACCTGAAGTACTCCAACACAAAATTCCATAACTAGATACATTTTTTGTTTCTCATCATTATACATAACGTCGACTAGTTCTATCACATTTTTATGTCTAAGTATTCGCAGTAATTGTATCTCTCTCTGCACATTTTGTTCACCATTTGGTATTCTTCTCAGTTTCCTCTTTTTAAGAATTTTGACCGCACGCCTACATAGGGTTAACGAGTCAAGCATTTCTTTAACTTTACCATATGAACCTTCGCCTAATACATCTCCCATTACATATTTTCCTATCATTTTGCATTTTTTTTTCTTGCTCTTGTATATGATATCGGCACTATCAACCCTCTGAAAGAAGGGAATAGTCTGGTCGAGATCCTCGATTTGGTCATCATCCAACCAGGTGACCGAGTGCGGTTCTGGACTTCCGTCCATCAGCAGGTTCTCGTCGCTCTCCAATGGTGCAATGATGTTTGATACTTCGAACTCCACAGTATCTGCATCTGGAAGACTTTCACTACTGCTGATTTTTCTACACATTCTCGGATCCATTATCTGTCGAAATAACACATTTGGAAAACTGTCCGTGAGTATACTGCAAGGCCTTTTGTCATAAGATTTTTATCAAGTCCTACTACGTTAATTTATTAGTTTTTATATCATACATTATCCGAATTTCGCACCATCCACATACAGACTAAATAATTATACAAAATTATTCTCCTTTTATTTGCAAGACGTATGTAAATAAATTATAAAACCAAGCAATGCAACATCGCGCACCACAAAACAGACAATGGATGACAGATTAAAAAGAAACTAGAAAATCGCTTTTAATTTGACAGATTTTGTTTTTTTTATTAATAATTTTGGCTTGGATATAAGTTTTTTGAGCCATGTCTTCGTTTAATTATGTTTATGTAAATATGGCCGCCACAAAGAGAATAGGCAATTTGAGGCGGTGCGAGGCGTGCTTGGATTGTCTCGGGATTCCTTAGAACGGGCCGATACTGGTATTTTAGTTCGAGATTCCTATAATTTCGCGTTTTAATCTTCGATTAACGCACAATAGCACTATCCTGTTCCACTTTAAACTAGATTTCACAAAATAATTGAAAGTCAAAATAAAAACGATACTTTTCCCTCCAAAAGGCCCAGAGCGAATCTGACAGATGTTGTACATAGTACATACAACTAGTGATGTAATGGTGTTGTTTCCTTAGCACCTTGTGTCAAACAGCAACCTTTTAAAAATCTGTAATTAAACTTCATTCCATACATGCATAAAATCTTGTTGTGCGTTTTCATTACGCAGTGTATCCGAATTTGGACTTATCTGTCTTTGTAATCGCGCGAAAAGTTAAATTATTTCTCAAAACAATGTTCGAAACGAAATCTGTAACTTTTCACTCTGTAAGTTTTCCCTAGGGTTTTTTAAAATACGGAGTTTGAAGTGCTCTTAAGTAGAAAATTGTTGGAAATTCTGTAAATAACATTTGAACTTCATATATTGTGGATGAAATAAAAAAACATAAATAAATACATGTATCTATATCGTAGTATCGAAAACATTTTATTAGTCGATTACAAAAAAATTACGTAACTAAAAATTACTTCTGTTCGTCTAATTTGCAGTGAACAACAAGAACTTCTGAGCTTTACCATCTCTACAACAAGTTACTTGTTGTTAGATATTTCCTTCTTAAGTTTATAAAGGCGCATGAGGCAGGTGTCTCGCCAGTCACGGCGCTCCTGCAACCGGTCGAGGGGCACCATGCGATTCAGCTGATTACAAATGGAGTTCACGCTAGAGATTGTAATTGTTCTTTGACCTTTGCCCATGGACTGGCTTACGCGGTACACTGTTTCGCCGTATCTGAAAATTTGAGTACGTGAATAGGTAAATAGACTTTTTTTAAGGTTGTGATATTGTTAAATTGCATTGTAAATTAGACTATACGGGAATGAGGCGTGGAAAGCTTTACTTAAATTACAATACTTACTCTTTTTTGCCGACGAATGATGATCGGCATTTATTCCGTCGCAAGATGTAAAGCAAACTGTCTCTCGTTTTTTACCAAAGCAAACGTCGATTATTTATTTTATTATTATTAAATATTTATTAAGTATTTATATTTGCGATTATCAAAAAATAGATATAGTTAGGTTACAGATGACGTCGGAAATGGCTTCGCACTGGAAAATACTACTATACTACGCTACAGCATTATTGACGTTTTGTACTCTAGAATTAATAACCCTCTTCATTTGATGTCGTATTCATACATATTGATGTTGTATATATTTACAAATGTATAAAAAGACAAAGAAACTGATAATCGTATACCAGGTGGCGCAAAAGTAATGTCATACTTAATTTGAATTGGCTTCCATTTTGTTAGAAATTAAAAAATGAGCTCTGTTTTCACGGAAAGTTTACTTCAAGATGTGAAATTGATAACATTACCATTGATACCTAAGTTAAAAAAATTATATCGGTCAAATGACCTCCTCCCGAGTTGATACACATTTGTTAAACTTGGTGCAAGAAAAGGATAATTTCGTATCCAAAATCATTATGAGCGACGAAGCCCATTTCCACTTAAGTGGTTACTTTAACAAACAAAATTTGCGATTCTCGGGCGCAGAGAACCCATATGAAATGCAAGAAGAGCCGTTGCATGCCCTCAAAATAACTGTTTGATGTGGCATTTGCAGTGAAAAAGTGATTGGCCTTCATTTTTTTGACGACGCCGATAGAACCACCGTAACCGTAACTGACGTTACAGGTAGATATTAGGCGAGTTTTTTCCGCAAGTTGCTGTATTGGGTCTCAAGCATTGTTGGTTACAGCAGGACGGAGCAACCGCTCACACAGCTCGGGCAACGACAAACATTTTGAAAATCCAATTTCCGGGCCGAGTGACCTCCCGTTTTGGGGTTTTTAACTTCTTCCTGTGGGGCTTTTTGAAATATCACGTTTACCACAACAAACCTCAAACTTTGTGCGTCTTCAAATCATCATCAAATAAGGAAGAAAACGCCGATTTGGAGCCAAATGTTTTACGAGGAACAAATAAAAATACCGTAAAACGAGCACAAAGGTGCATCAACTCGAGAGGTCATTTGACCGATATAATTTTTTTCATTTAATGTCATCAATTTTGCAGCTTCAAATAAACTTTTCGTGAAAATAGAGCTATTTTTTTCATTTGTAACGAAATGATAGTCAATTCTCATCATGACATTATTTTTGCGCCACCTTGTATTAATAATAAAATATTTAATAGGAAATATTATTATTCCTGTGGCTTTCGCATCTTACCGTTCAATGTAGCTCTTTATACCTTCATCATTCAGATGCGCCGTTTCCAGTGCTCCGAGGAAAGCATATCGCATGCCAAGGCCTGCTGAAATAACCTTGTCGACGTCTTCTACGTCTATAATTTTGTCAACTACCATTCGCCATGCTGCACCGAGGATTACCGTACCTTTAGGGGAAAAAATCAAATACAACTAATAAATTTAATCAATTTATGTGGACATATACGGTTTTTGGTTTTTTAAAAGTAAATTAGGAGGCAGATGAGCCACTTGATGGGGCGGTGGTCATCATCACCCATGGACATAATATGCAACATCAGAGAAGCTGTTTATGGGTTGGCAGTCTTTGAAAGCTTTGTATAATAAAATTCGGTGACCCGATGTGAAATACAGCTTGACTCCGAAGTGTTTTGAAGCCAGTTTGGCTTTACATTCCAAATGACCGCGAAACTGAACTACGTTCGTAATTAACTCGAAGTACACCAATACTTCTAGAGGTGGTAAGGGCGGTACCCGGAAACTGTCAGAAATGGGATTTTCTTAACTGTGAATTTGCAGATTTGTGCCTTTGCAGGGTTAAAATGGACAAGACTCTATACATTTCTGGCAACAAGTTTTACAAATGTCATGTAAAAATGCACCTATTTGTATTTAAACAAAAAAAATCAACAAACCTCTTCTAAAATTGTCAATACCAGTAAAGCATTTGAGTCTCTACATTTAAATTTGCAAACGTGACGTTTTTAATAACAACTCACTGAATACGATTCAGAACAAAACCATCAATTTCTCGGGACAAACAGATGGGTTCCTGGCCGATTTCCAACATCATTTTGAGTGTCTTATCAATTACTTCTGCCTTGGTCCGAGGTCCTGGAACGATTTCTACCAGAGGTATGTAGTAGAATGGATTTATTGAGTGAGACACGATCACCTGCAAAATTGAAACTTATTTTGTGTGTTGATAAACAACACACATTCGGAGTTGATTAATATCGATAATCACAATATAATTAGAGCAGAGGAAGGGTTAATACTGCCCTCGTAAGGAAAAAAGGCATAACTGTACGTACTTTATACGACAGTTGTGCCTTTTTTCTGGGCTATCCTGTGCAGGTGCACACAACTAGTTTTCGCTAGAGCGGGGCGTTTAGTGTATTACCCAATACACTACACGACCCGACGAAACACGAATTGTTTTATTTTGTTTAAACACAGAATAACAACTTCTACTATATCTTTCAGACTTTTGTGATAATAACTGTTCTTTTTAATATCAGTTTGTAACGGCATTATAATAGATTAAAAAAATTTATGGTGTAAATTGAGCTTTACTGTGTTTCGAGTTTGAAGGGTAAGAATTACAGTCACATTGGACTTATCAACTTATCTCTCAGGGTGACGCAGTCGCAGTGTCTCTCAGATCTTTACGATCTAAAGCTCTGAGTGGCACTGCAGCTGCAATGAACAGGCGTATCGCTTAACACCAGACGCACGCCATGTTCGTCCTTCTTCGTCATCATTCGTCGTTAAAAAAAAAAAAAAATTTAAACTGTTTATTTCTATCATATTTCTATAGAAAAGATTTTTTGTGTTTGGAATTGTTTTGCCTACTATTCTAAATTTATAATCTTTACAATAAGATTTTAGCACTTTAGTTAGCTTCCCTTAACCTACATGTATTACAATTTTTTTACATAATTACTATAAATCTAATTACACTAACGCATACTACTTCTCTGAGCCGACATCATTGCCAGTTCTGTGTTGATTAATTGTTACTTGATATCATAAAAAAAGTTGCAAAATATTGAGATCAAATACTTTTTACAGATTAAATAGTTAATGTGGTTTAAATTTTTTGGTTATACTTAATGCACTAATAGTAATTCTAGTCTTCTAATAACCATTTGCTTCTATGTTAAATTTGTGAATGTGATTCTGGAATAGTACCTATCGGTCGAAAAGAGTAGTGCAAACAGGTGCAGTGTCGTGAATTACAAATCATCGTTACAAAATACCTAAGTCAGTTCGTGCCATAGATTTAGTATATGGTTCGTGCAGTTGGTACTTTCATTAAGCAGGCTTATCTAAAAAAGTATTTTCTTCTAAATATTCGTCAATATCTTCCCAATCCATATTTATAACTATAATAAACTATTATACTAATTTTTATATTGTCAATACCGGTAATTGTGTTTGTATTATAATATTCATATACCAAATATATGTAGGTACTTTCAATATGTTTGTATGCCAAATGTTTGGCTGGACACAGTGAAACTATACCTACTCATTTTGTACATGTCTACTTGCATATCTAACCTGTGTTTTCACAAATAAATGAATTATTATTATTATTATTATTATAAACGCATCTCTGTCCCTGGCAAATCCTGACACACTGAATAAAAGGCTTACTTATAGCACCACTTGTATATGCTCGTCAAAATGCTAAAACATTGTAATATTTAAACGCTTTATCGAAAACAGATTTAAATACGATAAATTAACTGGCGTGCACTCTTAGGGCGCGTTCCCATTATGTCGTGACAACTGATTGTCGTGCAGTTTACAGTGTCGTGACTTGAATATAGTTAAATGAGGTTGTTCACATATAGCACGACACGATTAACTGTCGTTCACAATTTTTTATCGTTATAACGACAAACTGTCGTCACAGTGGGAACAGCTAGAACGACAGTCGTCAGACGATATAAAAACGTCACGATAAAAACGTGACGACAGATTGTCGCAGCTCCTATTGTCGTCACGTTTTATTTATCGCTGTCCGCACGTATTCTGCTCCCTGCCCTCCCCTCTCGTACCCCGCGTCCTCTGCTCGCTTTGCAGTAGCGTTGGGTCGTAGCCAGAGATGGGCAAGGAGGCTGTCGTGAAACGTTAAATTGTCGTCACGATCTAGTGGGAACAGCTAGTCACGACAGTTGTTTAACGATAAAAAATCGTCCACGACAGATAGTCGTGATATGGGAACAGGCTAGACACGACAGTCGTCCAACGAGAACAAAACATGACGACATAGTGGGAACGCGGCCTTACTACAATGCCGTCTCAATATACACTGTAAATGCTATTACCAAGACACCTCAATACAAATCAGTATGTTCAGTGGTCAATGTATATTCAGTGGCTCCGCTGTACGCGTCGCCATCCCGAATTTGCGGCCTGTATGTGTATATGTATATATATATATATAATATCAATAGAACTGCACGCTAAATGGGTATTGACCATTTACTTTGTGTTTATTAGGTATTCATTTTCAAATCAGAATGGTAATGACACAATTTCAATAGCAGCAGTACTCTTTCTGCCGCCAAGCAGTAATGTCAGCATTAATGCGTTCCGGTTTTGAAGGGTAAGGGTGCTGGTGAAATTACAGGCACATAGGACTTGTCAACTTATGTCTCAGGGTATCGGACGCAGTGGCTGTGCCCCTCAGATCTTTGCGATTTAAACCTCTGAGTGGCATTGCAACTGTTATGGACACAGACAGACAAGCTTACCATCAGCTACCTACCATGCCCTCCTGGTCATAACTAACGCAATTACACCACAAATTAGTAAATTACACTTTGGTAACTTTAGGAGATAAAGGCACTACAAGTTTTTTTTTGGTACTAAATTTTCAATTAGAATAGGTAAAGGCACTTACAAAAGGCTCCATACAGCCAAGACTGAGAGTAATTTCTTTCTTGGATTCCATTACAAAATGTCTTCGACATTGCTTCTTACGGAAGAACATAAAGTTGGATAACATTCTTGATTTTTCATTTAAAAACGTCAATTACGCGGATTCCAGATATGTGAATAAGTCTATTTCGCTAAAAATGTTCAGTACCCATGTATGTATATAATGAAGTATGTAAGCATATTTGTAAATACCTTAGACTATTTTTTTCCATCCTCTAAGGCAGCCTTTCCCAAAGTGGGCGATAACGCCACTTGTAGGTGCTGCAAGCTTAAAGGTAAGAGACCCAGAAAAAGAATAGGTTCGTTGTACAGAGGCTTAGGGGGAGATTTGTAATTTCGTCTAGGAAGACTTTTAGGGTCGTATTCTAGAACTCTACTCAATGCTCAAGTTAGGATTGCACTGAGCATTGAGTAGAGTTCTAGAATACGACCCTTAGACACCGACTGAGCTCTCGACTCTCGACTACAACTTGTGAACATCAACTAATATTAATTAAGAGATTGCTCAAACTGACTCGGTTCGATATTTCTCTCCGTGTAGTTTATATATCTGTCCTGTTTTATTGAATAAATAAAATAAAAATCATGTCACAAATAAAAAGGCAACAGACACAGTTTCGCTTTTTAATGGTTGTTAGTATTCCTAGATAGGTAATTTTCGTAGATAATAGACTGCGGGCAATCATGTTTTAACAAGTTTTTGTTAAATAACCCGATTTGTGCATTCGTGTATCAATCGGCTGGTTCATAGAATACTTGTTTTTACTTGTTGAGTGCGACTGAGGGTTGAATGAGATAAATGAGTTTATGCATGTTTGTCTTATTCCTGTCGGTGCGTGCTGCTATATAAACAACGTGATATTTATTTTATTTTCGTTTGAGGTTTCGCGCGTAATAAATAAACAGTACTGCTTATACCATTGATCTACCAAGAAAAAGAATATGGGCAGACGTGAGTTTCACAATTTTCCGAATTTATCAGTATCCTGCAGTAACGACGGCTTGTTTGCCTACTGCCAACATTTGGAAAACCTCCACATTGACTTCACCGAACGAGAACAGGACATTTTGAACTTGGAAATACCAGACTGTGTGTTGGATCCGTTTTCAAATGTCAACACAGCAATATCACCTCAGCTGGAAGAAGAACTTATAGAATTGGCAACGACCGAGAATAAAAATCAAGTTCAAAAATGGCTACCAAGAAATTTTGGCTACAAAAACCGATCCCGCAATTGTACACCGGATTGTGGTCAATCGTTCAACGATTCTTGATAGCATACCCATCGTCATATTTGTGTGAACGTGGTTTTAGTGCTGTGACAACCCTGCTTACTAACAAAAGAAATCGTTTGCATGTTACCGAACGTGGTGACTTGCGGCTGTTCCTGAGTAAATTGGAACCTGATATCAACAAACTTATTAAACAGCATCATATTCATCCTTCACATTGGTTTTTATATTAGAATCGATTATGTTTGTTTTATTTTGAATAAAAGATACTCTGTCTGAATACTATAAACTTGCGTTTCAATAATCATTCTCATTGGCAGGTGTAGCCCGTAAAAGTTAACTTGAGACCTGAGCGCCGTTGTATACTACCTAAAGCGCTCAGGTCTCAAGTTAACTCTTGCAGGTTATAGTTTAATATTAGTCTCGTTTAGAATGAATGTCTAATTTCCGCTAATATAGCTCACAATAATTAATTTAATTTGAAGTTATAGTGGTTTTTGTAAGTGGAAAAATGGGGGCGCTAAAAAATAATTTATTCTCAATGTGGGCAGTAGACAAAATAAGTTGGGGAACCCCTGCTCTAAGGTAAATACACTGTATTTGAATAAATATATAAAATATTATTTTTCTTTATAGTCCACACTACGGAAACCCTGTATCTAACTGAACTATATACTACACATAACGATTGTGAACTGACAACCGGTACTATCTTTTTTCTACAATTTTCTAAGATTTCACTTTTTAATACAATTTTATACTATTTCATACTCCGCAGCGTTGCAAGAAATTCCATTGTTTTTTAATAACATGTGTGATAAAAATATTTAAGAACTAAGTACGTATTTTTATTTAATAAACCAGATGCTATATAAATGATGCAAACAAGTTTTTTCTTCACCGTAGTACAGGTTGCCAGTTCACAGTTGATAGACAACTAGAAATTACACCCAAACTCACGATGGAAATGAATGTAGGCCATACAAATATGAATATTTCTCTCGACCCGGCAATCGAACCCGGGACCTCCACGTGACCGACCAACATGGTAACCGTTCGGCCACCGAGGCAGTTAATAACTATATTTCAGTATTTTTTACCTGCGGATTATGTTTAAGGCCGTCAGAGAACTTAGAAGGGCAAATACTGCCGGTGGAACTAGACAAAATAGTGTTGTCCGTCACCACCTGGTCCAAGTCACGAAATACTTTCTTCTTCACATCAAGATCTTCAGATGCACACTCTTGAATAAAGACGGCTTCATTTACTGCTCTAGCAAGATCTGAAGAACCTTAAACGGGAAATTCATTTATTATTAAACTCGAAAATATTTTTTTATTTTGCTATGATTTTAGGTTATATTAGTACTTAAATATAGAAAAATTTTTTTTTGCACACACTCAACATAGCCCCGCACTAGGGAAACCCTGTGTCGCAGGTGCCATGGACACACACATAGACAACCACAAATTATACCCAAACTCACGAGAGAAATAAATGTAGGCCATACAAACATTTCTCCCGGCCTGGGAATCGAACCTGGGACCTCTGCGTGGCAGTACGGCATGGTAACTGTTCGGACACGGAGGCAGTTAATGTTAGTTAGTGTTAAAAGTTAATAAGAAATTGGTAAATGGTATAATCGCTATAATAACCTTAATAAAGCAACTTAACACATGACATGAGTACAAATTATTTTGTAATTATATATATTTGGATACGTTTTGGATCTGAATAATTTTTTATCGAGTTTCTCATTAAACCATGAAGAGCCTTTCAATAAACCTTGAGCTGCGGGTGTGTCGTATAGGTAGACATATCTACTACGGCCTATTTTATTTATATCTGACCTTTATAAGTAACGGGATTATGCGGTCTGGTGGCTGGTTAAGAATAAGTACCCTTGGAATAATTACTCTCCTATTTAAGCACAATTTAGGCAGATGTAGTCTTATTACACCAATGGTGCGAGCTACCCAAGATTTCTTCTAAAGATATGCCAGCAAAGTAATCCTTGTCAATAAACACCAACTAAATTAGTTTTAATAATCCATTTTTAAGGACCTCACGGAAAACTACTTACTTAGTCTTAATATTCAACAATTGCCGATATAATTGCTGGCGTATTCACTAGCATTCGTGGGGCTAGATAATAAATGTAATCGTTATACGAATTTTTGATAGAGTTAATTATTACCGCTTTGATCAAGAGGATAATAACCCTATTGTAAAATAGCTTAAATCGACGGTTTAAAGAATATTGGTTGACCTAAGCGCTCCCTATTAGATAAGCATACAATAAGGCTTTTATTTCATTCCGCGATTAGCTTTAAGGCGTGTTTTCCCTTCATTCCGTGAAGTCCAATAGTCTCCTACCGCCCCATGTACATTTTGATGTACATAATATGTGAAGTGATTTAGACCCAGAGAATATTATTTCTATAGTCACGTAAACGCGCAGTGTATATTATAATGAAAATATAGCATCTAAATTTAGCACTATATGTATATTTTATATGACCATTGGGTATCTAGAAAATTACTTTAAAAAATCGCGGCTGCGTTTTTCAAACAAGACATGAATGTCTCCACATTCATGCTTAACCTGAAGCATGTAATTACATTAAAATGTAATTGGGCGTTTAACGCTTTTCCCTTTGTAATTTGCTGGGGCTTACGAGGATATTATACTAACATAGGAAAAATCGTAAGTTCTTCTCAACCTACAAGTCTCATAAAGTGTTAGTATAGCGACATACATTAGCAAGAGCTCGGAATTGAATAATATAATGGTATGCCATTCGCATAAAAATCACAAATATAAAATCACAAATACAGCCACAAATTGTTGTGTAAACACACAATTTTTGTGCATATGCAGTTCCGTGGCGACATTTATAAAATCTCTAATGCTTACCTTTAATGCATTGGATTTGTTGTTTAGCCGTCAAATCTCCTCGAAGGGCGCCATCTCTCTCCAATAACTTCAACTGCTGCTTAATGGCAACGAGGGTATCCTTCACGTGCTGTGGAACTACGTCGTAGATCATCACTGAGTACCCCACTGATGCGAACAGCATGGCCCATGATCGACCAATCTCGTCACTTTAAAGGCAACCAAGTGGATAAAAGAAGAGGTAGACAACAAATCGGTAACTGGGTGAAAAAGTTTCCTAGGATCGGTCAAGGAGTCCAATTGGCCACTTTAGACTATTTCAATTATGTTTAGTTACAGAAACGTTTAGGCATACTACGTAACCATCGTTGAAATTTTATTTCGTAGGTAATGATAACTATTAGTTTATCTAGGTAGTCCACCTTATACCCAAAATAATTTAACTTTAATTTAAAACCAAATGACAACTAAATAAATGAAGCAATTTTTTCCGGATCTAAATCTATATATGTTTGTTTAAAAAATACTTTCATCTCCTATGTGTAACAATAGCGAAAATCTAAGAACTCGACAACTATAGACGCAGGTGAAGCACTTATAAATAAATAAATAGATACAAAATTGGAGAATAACGAAAAAAGTTGACATAGGTAACTTTCACCTAAACCCAGTCAGCAGGATAAATTTGCTTGTTTTCATGAATAATAAGTCTAGCTAGATACATAGTTACCTTCCAACGACGCAAACTTTTTCCGCCTTAAAAGGTAGTGCTGGCTCCATAATTGTGTGAATTTGCACCGTATTCGCCTCCAGAAAAAACGTATTTTACAAGTCGTCTCTCCTAGCACTGATAAAACTTTGTCCCGTGAGCAAATAAAAACTATACGAAAACCCCTCCCACTGCTCAGCCCCGTACGCCTTATTAAGGGTCCTTGCACACGCACAACTAAATTATCGTTTGACTTTCCGATCTCTTACATGTAGAGTAAGAACTACACCCTCCTAACCGATCCTGACTATATATATATATAACGATTGGTCACAATCGTTTGACAAATATTACTATTATTTTAGGATAATTTATAGAAGGATCGCAGACTACTCGTATTTTATTTTAGAATGCGTCTTAATTTGCATTGTTAGATAGCAACCGCAGACTTGAAAATTCTAGGCAAACATGGCAATGACACACAACCGAGTACATCAAAATGCTTATGGGAAAGTATTTTGCTTCGATGCTATTTAGGATTATGATCAAAAAAGGTAAGATTGGGAGGTATATGTCGCGTTGTAAGTTGTTTAGCCATTCCAAAAGGTTACTCACGTTACAATTAGTGTCGTACGCACCAACCTAAGTATTTATAAGAAACGCCTCTCGCATAACCCGAGCTAGGTGAGACGATCCATGCAACTGTCGCAACGAGTACAGCTTGCTTTAGTAGCATATAGTGAATCCCCTTTTTGTTTATGTACCTACATTCTCATTTTGCACATCCCACCATTTTATATGAGCCGTAACAAGGGGTGATAAATGACATACACACATTTTCTCAAAAAAATACTGAATCAACTAAATTGACAATAGCCTATTTTGGAAATGAATTTTATTGAATTCACGTAATGAAAAGACGTGTATGTAACTTTAATTAACATTGTTACAGTACAATGAAAAAACTGATTAGTACGTAGCAAAAACTATTTTATTGATCGATTTATGAAGGCGTTAACAATAGCTCGTTTTTACTGAACTGGATGTGGGCAATGTTTTTATAAACCTATTACTTCTTGGCCTTCATTTCCCTCTTGAGAATTGAAAGACGTGTAAGACAGGCATCTCTCCAAGCGCGGCGCTCCTGTAGTCGGTCGAGAGGTACCATACGGTTCAGTTGATCGCAGATAGAGCTGGCGGCGGGGCTGGTGGGCATATGCGGGATTTCACCCATGGTCTTGCTTACACGATTGATTGTTTCGCCATACCTGTAATTGAAAAATCATTTTGAAACATTTGAATTCACACTCAACACTACGCCAGTAATATCTACATTCTTGAGAACAAACTTTTCTAACTTACCGATCAATGTAATTCTGCATGCCTTCAGCATTAAGATGGGCCGTTTCAAATGCTCCGAGGAAAGCATATCTCATGCCAAGGCCTTCAGAAATAACTTTATCGACGTCCTCTACATTCACGATTTTGTCATCTACTAATCGCCAAACCTCGTTGAGAATTGAGTATCTATAACGAATAATCATTTTTATTAAATTATGCTATTTTTGGAAATATTTTTGCAAAAGAATTTCTACAAATAGAAGTAGCTCTTTATTAAAACGAAAAAATATTTACGGATAACAAAGAAACAAAAGAAGAGCTACTGAAATTTTATAACCATATTTGTCTCACTGAATGCGATTGAGTACGAATCCATCAATTTCACGAGACAAAGAAACGGGTTCCTGTCCTATTTCCAACATTATTTCTCTTGTCTTCTTAGCCACTTCGGGTTTGGTCCATGGCGCAGGAACGATTTCTACCAAAGGTACGTAGTAAGGCGGATTCACTGGGTGAGACACGATGACCTAAGAAATATTAAAACACATTAACGAACATTCAATATGAACTCTTATGTCACAAATTCGCGACGGTGGTGGTGCGTTCAGCGGGGCGTTCAAGACAACAACAACACAAAACACACGTCATACGCCCAAATCTTGAATGCACCGCCGCCGCCGTTCCGAATTTGCGGCGTTATGATTATCAATGCGGACTTTTTATAGCTATAAATTTGAACTTCGTCATTTCATACCTGGGACTTATGTTTTAGACCATCCGAAAACTTTGACGGTAGAATGCAGCTTGTGGAACTTGACAAAATAGTTTTGTCATTAACCACTTGATCCAAACCTTGAAATACTTTTTTCTTCATATCTAGACTCTCAGGAGTACATTCCTGGACGAAAATAGCATCTTTAACCACTGTTACAAGATCCGAAGAACCTAAAAATTACAAAATGATATTTAAAATTTTTATTGAATTGATATTATATATAGATGGCGCTACGACTAAAAAGTTGTTGAAAAACCAAATACAAAGACACGACGCAAGCACATAGAAAAATTCGTGAGGTCCGGTGGTTCGTTCCGTGGCTTACTTGGTATAGCGTCTGGCACGGTATACAAAAGGGTAGGTTACTTTTTACATGTTTCCTAGAGGGAATAGGTATTATTTAGATGCGCATGCTCCATCCTCGACCTCATCGTCACTTTCCATTAGGTGATCCATCTCATATAATATGCGAACTTTTTTAATAAAAAAATAAAATTAATTGAAATACAAAAAAATCGACATTGTCTTTCACATTATACCTAGCGCTATCCTCGACTGCTTTAGATCAGTCACCAGTTTAAGAGATCGATAGATTATGAGGGAGTGTATACCAAGTATTTAAGAAAAAAACAGCAATATATGTGTGAGACTTGTACGAGGCATATTTTAATAAATTGGTTCTACTGTTGGCCATAGACCTTCCCTTTACACAAACTATCTCGACATATTGCACATGCAAATTAATATGTATAGCCATTTTATACATATATGTTTTATTGTGTGTAAATTTTAATCCCACATGATATATAAATTTTTTACATACATTGTGGAATCTTTTTTCTAAGATACCAAGTGATAGGAAGAACAAGTCGCGCGCCTGATGGTAAGCGACACGCCTGTCCATAACAGTTGCAGTGCCACTGAGAGCTTTAAATTACAAAGATCTGAGGGGCATTGTCACTGCGCCGGTCACCCTGAGATATAAGTTAACAATGTCCTTATGCCTGTAATTTCACCAGCACCCTTACCCTTTACTGCTTGCTGCTGCGACATTACTGCTTGGCGGCAGAAATAGGTACGGTTTATATAAATAAAAATTTTCTTGTTGGCATCATAGATTTCGAAGTTTATTTGAACTCACTTTCAATATTCAGTAGGAAACAAAGTCACGTCCATTCAGGCTCAATTAAATTCTTACTTCTATATAAAAAAAGATTGTTATACCTTTGATGCACTGAAATTGTTTTTCAGCATTCAAATGCCCGCGCAGAAGACCGTCTTTCTCCAGAACGTTTAACTGCTTCTCGATATCAACCAAAGCGTCCGTCACCTGCTGTGGGACCACATCGTAGATTGTCACTTGGTACCCTACTGATGCGAACAACATAGCCCATGATCGCCCAATTAGGCCACTGGAGAACAACACATTATATTATGGTACATAATAATAGAAAGTCTAACAAACCACCAAGGGTTCGCATTACAGAAGGATCCAAAATTATACACACTTATGAGATTAAAAATTCCGCAACTATAATTAAGTAGGTTCATTACTAACTTTTTATTTTTAGGCTGTCTTTAATATCTGAACAGATTATGTTGATCTTGTTTTAGCTAACTGCTAATACCAAGTACCAAACTGTTTATCTGTAAAATGTGTAATTAGAAGCTGTAGATACAATATTACTATTATGCACTTAGAAAACAGACAAGAAACCAATATTGTTTAAAGATAATTTATCTTGTTTATTATAGAGCCATCTGCCGTATTTCAGTATCTGTTATCAGCAGTTCAGGACTCGTCACTTTTAACCTTTTAACTTGTAGATAATGATTTGTAACGACAAAAAAGCTCCCAAATATAACAACAAACCATATAACTCGTATAACTTCACAATAGAGACACCGTGTGTAGGCGCTATATCAAAGTTACGCAGCTTATATTAAATTCTTTATGATTATGTATTTATTACAAAAACAGTTGGTCGCCTAATTGAATAAAGCCAGGTTGGTTAAAGCACTATGTTTTTTTTTATGAAAGACGAGCAAATAACGATTATTAATTAAGTGTACAATTAGTACCTAGATTAGAATTTACATTATTTATGTGCATTTAACTAAATAGACAGAATTTTTTATTTATTATATTTAAGTCTTTCATTTGATTGCATTGCTTTTATCACTTTCCACTAAAACGTTCGATGTATTCAATGGTTGTTAATTCAACATACAATCCACAGACGGACACAACTTTCTACTTCAAGAAAAGTGACTAATAACAGGTTAAAAATAAATAGAAGAAAAAACAGAAAAAATGTTTAACAAACCTTTTAAATAAATGTCCACAATATCCCAATCTAGATATATGTATAAAATTATTCCTACTGTATATAGTAAAAAATATACAACACAAATAGTGTTTATATGTACATACATACATAGGACGAAACAACACAGATTTACATACAAAGATATAAATAACATAAAACAACGTTGTAATAACGAACAAATCGTATCTAGCTGTTTACATTCATCAAGGTAACCTTACTTACATAAAAGATTTGATACATAAATGGGCGTGGTAAGTTTAGGTTATGAGCGGAGTTTACTAATATATTCATATGGCTATACCGGCAAAAGCCGGTTGGACTAAAATTGCGTCGAGTAGTTCATATCTACACTTACTACTCTATAATACACGTTATATAAATTATTATTGATTTGAAAATTGGCACCAGAAAAATCCAACCATATTACTTAGATCCGCGAAAATATTTGATCCCCCATCAATACTTAAAGATGGTATAATTATTTATAAATGTTTATAGAGAATTTAAATGTTTAATTTGTTCTCTTTGTAATGATTACAAAGGTCAACAGCTGAAGTAGGTATGTCCGTTCAGTAACACTTAGGAGAATAAAATGTAAACAATTGTCAGATCAGGTAACGCCGAATGCCTTTTTAACGATACCTACTGTATTATCGTCATGGAAACTTCACGCCGCCGCAATAAAATTTTCACATAGGTATACTTTAAAATATGTGTCAAATCTCCGGCTCACATTGCTTTAGTAAATCATTTATTACCCTTTTTACAGATAAAGCATCCTATCCAGAAGTAACCTCATGTCGATAATCTCACTTACAATGTTTACACAAAAATAGAATTATAAATCCATACCTTCCAACGATGCCAACTTTTTCCTTTTTAAACATGATTGTAGTATTGCGTGCACTCTATACCGTACCGTCCTTCTGAATGACATTGCCTGTACGAACTCGCCTCTCTCGTAACCACTGCGACAAACTTACTTGAGCTCGGCGAAAATTAGAATTAATATCGCACCAAATACAAAAATTACCTCCTTCTACCTCGCCACATCTGTCCTAAGCGTACTGACATTCTCCAACAAACGCATTTGTAATTTTGCCCGATTGTAAACTAGTTATCAGAACAAATATGGCATACTTTTTGATCACACTATCAATGATATGGAAAGCAACCTCCTTAAATTACCTACCTAAATTTTGTTTATCAATGTTTAGGGACTACAATATTGTTTTTTTTATGATTCTAAGTGACGGGACGAATAAGTCGTGCACCTGATGGTAAGCGACACGCCTGTTCATAATAGTTACAGTGCCACTCAGAGCTTTAAATCGTAAAGATTTGAAGGATACTGCCACTGCGCCCGTCACCCTGAGACATAAGTTGACAAGTCCCAAGTGCCTGTAATTTCACCAGCACCCTTCCCTTCAAAACCGGAACACAGTAAAGCTCACATTACTGCTTGACGGCAGAATTAGGTAAGATGGCAGTACTTCCCTGGACAAACTCTTAGACAAGGAGCTCTACTGCTACTAAATTTAAATAATAGTTTTACCTACGGGATAAGTACATACGTGGTTAGAAAATTATTATTATGATTATGTAGCGCAATAAAATTTAATTTTTTAGTGAATATGAGCCGACATTTATTTAATATTTAAATATATTTAGTAGCAGTAAAACTTTTTATGAAAGAGTTCGTACTCCCACCTTAAAAATTTCTACCGCCAAGCTGTAATGTGAGCATTACTGCGCTACCGTTTTAAAAGGAAACTGCTAGAGAAATTATATGCAAATAAAACTAGTCAACTTATGTCTCAGGGTGAAGGCGCAATAGTAGTGTCCCTCAGATCTTTGCGATTTAAAGCTTTGAGTGACACTGCAACTGCTATGGAACACCAGGCGCACGACTTGTTCGTCCCGTCACTTGGTGTCATAGAAAAATATTCTAAAATGTATGTCAAAAATTTATATATCTTGTGCGATTAAAATCTACACATAATAAAACACATACTTATAAAATGACTATACATATATGTTTGTATGTGCAATATGTCGAAATAGTTTGTGTAAAAGGAAGATCTATGGCCAACATCAGAACAATTTTTTATATGCCTCGTGCATCGTGTATGTAACCAGAAATAGAGACGAAATAAGGGTCATTTATTCCTGGTAACACATTAGCGATACAGCTCTTATAAATAATAGGGGTTAAAGTATGAAATTGCCGATTTGTACTGAAAATCTAAATTGTTTATTTTTTAAATTTTTAACAAATTTATTTAATCAAAATAGTTGCCATTATTATCTATACATTGCTGCCATCTAATGGGAAGGTTATTAATGCCTTTGCGATAGAACTCCGACGATCTAGACTGCACAAACTGTGTGAAAGCATTTTGTATTGCCTCCTGGGAAGAAAACTTCTTTTCACGTAGATAATTGTCCAAATCACGAAAAAAATGGTAGTCCGTTGGAGCAAGGTCTGGTGAATACGGAGGATGACGAATGGTTTCTAACTGCAGTTCCTGAAGGGTCAAAATGGTTTCTCGTGCTGTGTGAGGTCTCGCGTTGTCGTGGAGCAATAATGGTGAAGATCGATTCATGAGTCGGGGCTGTTTTACTGCTAGTTTTGTCAACATGGTTCGGAGTTCGGCACAATAGACATCTGCCGTTATTGCTTGACCAGATCGGAGAAAACTATAACACCATGCTGAGACCACCAAACAGTTACCATTACCTTTTTATTGGTAAGTTTTGCTTTGCAACAGTGTTGTTGTGGCATTTGACCTGGGGTCAGCCATTGCATTTTTCTTTTCCGGTTATCATAAAGAATCCACTTTTCATCACATGTTACAATTCGATCCAATATTCCTTCATTTCTGTACCGGTTCAACAAGGCAACACAAGTTTCAACACGCGTTTCTTTCTGCAGATCAGTCAAATCATGAGGCACCCATTTTTCGTATTTTTTTATTTTATTGATTTGACGCAAGTGAGTCAATATTGTGGGTAAGGTAACGTTAAACCATGCCGCTAATTCCTGGGTAGTTTGACTAGGATCGGCTTCCACTATCTCTCTTAATTCATCGTTATTCACCTGTGTGGGCGGTCTTCCTCGTGGCTCGTTCTTTAAGTCGAAATTTCCATCACGAAAGTGTTTAAACCAAAATCGCACGGTGCGTTCATTAGTAGACCCCTCTCCAAACGCAGCATTGATATTGCGGGCTGTTTCTGCCGCGTTAGTTCCGCGTCGGAACTCGTATTCAAAAATCACTCGAATTTTCGCAGTATCCATCTTTCTTGTCTAAATTGAATAACAAAACAATTGAAAGTCGATATTCAAATGTTTCAAATTTAAAAAAAAAATCACAGAAACCATTTGGAAAAAGTTTCATTCGAAAACCTCAAACCATGAAGATCCTATGAAAATTCAAAGAACCTATTGCAATAAAACGGCAATTTCATACTTTAACCCCTAATATCAACTCCCGTTTGCACTGAAATATAGACAGACCAACTACTGACCTGTGTGTACGTCTCCGTATATTTCAAAAAATATTCTGTATTTATTGTAATAAAGATAATATCTCTAACAATGCCGTACTGTTCTATTCGGTGGTGTGGGAAAAACAGCAAAGCATCTAATTACAAAACAAACGGAATCACATTCATCGGTAATTAAATATTAAACATGTAATTTTGTATGTTTCGTCCATTACAGCAAAGCTCAAGTTAACTGGTCGATTTGAAGTGAAACAGTTGACGACACTCGTCAATTGTTTCGAACTCGGGCTAGTCAATCGGAGCGCAGTTGTCACAGTAATGATATGGCAGAATAGTTTTCAAACAAATTAAATGACATTTCGTCTCTATTTCTGGTTATATACTCGATGGCCTCGTGTAAGCCCCACACAGATTGCTGTTTTTTTTCTTAAATACTTGGGATACACTCTCTCATAATCTTTCATTCTCCTAAACAGGTGATTGATTTAAACCAGCTGAGGATAGCGCTAGATATATAGTGAAAGATAATGCCGACATTTTGATGGTGTCAGATAGGCGCCCTTGTTGTGTTGTATCACAATCGGAACTACTAGGTATAAGGACCGAAACACATAACTGCGAATCGGCGCGATGCGAATTCGCAACGCAGGAAACTGCGACATGAATTGCTGCGATGCGATTTCGTACGGTAAGGCATCGACGATCATCAACCGTACTGAATGTATTTTTTAAACTAGGTAACGACATGTATCGTAAAAAGAGTGTTCCACCAGGTTGCACTGCTATTATTGATAAGAAAGTATAGGAAAAAAAAACCCAAAAAAGATTAACATCGCAGGAATGCGCGATGCGGAGCAATTCACAAATTCTCGCAATGCGTTGTGCGACCTCGTAGATTTCTGCGATGCGACGTCGCATCGAAGTTTTGTGTTTCGACCCTAAACCGTACGTAAGGGATAACTTATCAGAAATATGGAATACAAATCACGTACAATTTTTATTAAATTTATTACAAACTCTTTTTAGTAAAATACTAACCAGGTATGTGTCAAATATGTCATGTATATTTCCATTTCTAAACTAATTAGATTATATCTCAGACATGCCGAAGTCCTACAGAGGACTATTATAGCCGGATTTATTTGTGGTTAATAAAAGTGCAATCAAACCAACACTTATAACTTTACACTTTAAAAGCTCTTTAAAAAAGTTACTAAGTACCTAAGTGGCCTTGTGCCTAATTATTACATAAACTTGTCGAAACATCTCCATTTTTTATTGCCACTAGTTTACAAAGTTTGTATCCATAAAAAGTAGTATATCAGTCACCAAATAAATGTTTGATAAAAATTGTTACAAGTTACAATTAATTGATGGTACATAATGAATATAGAGGTTGATTGTTTTGTTCAAAACATGTTTTGCAGTTTACTGGTGACCGTAACCATGAAACTTAAAGTATTTTTTTTATTTGGCACCCAGTGCAGACTGAGAGACGACTATTTTATTATTACCGAATATTGCGAATTGACATCCTGTGTGGTAGAGGTACAATTAAAATTCTATTGCATTCTAGTTGACAAGTTTGCGCACCAGATATTAAAATGTGTGCTTTATTTTAAAAAATCGAAACAAAAATTGCATATTTTTCCGAAAAATTTTATGTTGACTGCCCATCTTTAATTAGAATATTCTGTCATTCTGCGATAGGTTTTCTAAATTGATTTCTTCTTCTTCTTTTGCCTGACCTTATTCCCATTTATTTCGGGTCGGCCCTTCTGGTCACTCTTCTCCAAGACGGTCTGTCCTGTGTCGTCTGTAGTACATGTCCATGGGAGGCGGGATGTTCCACTCTCTTGGGCTGGTTAATTAGGTTTTCTAAATTGACCCGAAGATAATGTAAGTAATTATTAATTAAATAGTTAAGTGTTCAAATAATATGAGATCATAGTCATGGAATGAAATGGCAGATTAGATAAATAATACTGAAATATACATAGTACCTTATTATATCTTTATAATCGTACGGTATATCGCACTACTATTACAATAGTGTTGTAACTCTAAATATGTGAAATTTAATATTATATCATTACTGAAAGTAAAATTTGATTCTCTACACGTCAAAAAAATCGTCGTTACGATATTGTAAGAAATAATCAAAAGATATCCACTTAACTCAAAATGAGACACACTTTATGTGAGCTAGTTCTGGCCAAAATAATCCTTATTCAAAAATATTGAATTATGTTTTCAGTTTTATTTTTAAATATATTTTTTAAGTGTCTAAGTGTCTATAATAAACTATAACATACATAAATTGTAATTATTTTTTGCGGTAAGTGAGTAATTCGGTTTTCATTGATTCTGAGAAAGTCCACTTTTTGAGTTAATACACTATTGTATTAACAGTGCGATATATGTATATTATATGTATACACGTGCTTTACTCATAAAGAAATGACACATAATTTAACAGTTAAACTGAGATTGTTACATATAAAATTGACCTTAGATATTTTTGTTTTCAGCAGATGCAATTTTTTAACATAAAATGCAATACAATAATGAATAAGATCTTCTTTATATCAATGATTACATAAATTAACACATAGAGTCTCATACTTTTTGGAAATTTTACTCTAGACGACAAGTACGAAGTTATCAAGATGCGTCCTAAAATTATCATCATCAAAATCTCCTTAACAAAACTTAACTTTAAAATTATACTTAAATGCATGTGCATTAAAATATTCTCAAACAACTTAATACAAATAAAACTTCTAACGTTTAAAATGGTGACCTCTGTTCAATTATGATAGTACTCTGATCATGGACTCTAAGATATACGTAACCACAAATAGAGCTAAATGCGCGTATTTTCCTTTAAGTAAACAAAGGCATAATTGATATTCACAACAGGTATATAAAAATTTAAGCTTCGCAAGCAGTGCGTGCAATAAGGGCAGTGGTGCTAACACTGTAAATCTTGTAGTTGACCTCATTGGCGTCCAGTTCTTTGTAGATAAACCTTGGGAGTTTATCCACTAGAAGCCAGAGAGTACCTTCGTCGTCGACCTGAAATGATATTATTATATTATTTTAATTATAAATGAAATTGAATAATTTATTACATTAAAATTATTAACCGATCTTTCTTTATTTAATGGCTTATTATCTTCAGATCGGAGTAGTAGTGTTCAATACAAATTGTCCCTTCTATTATTTTCCCATGAGTATCGAAGTAAATAAGTAAGGGATATATCTGGGAGATGGATAAAAGACATAGTTACGGCAAATGTTAACCTTAAAAATACTTCTACTTAGTGCCAGGTACAGCTGGTTTGAAGTTTATTGTCATACATAAACATACATTTTTATATTATTAAAATAACAACCTTCAAGTCATTGGGGAACTCGTAAAGCGACGGATCGCTGAAGAGCAACACGTTGTTCTCAACTGTAAAGGGCTTCTTGGAGTTCCAACATGCTATTCCGTCATGGTTCACCTGGAAATTCCAAAAAAGCAACTTTGTTGTTACGAATTTACATGACTTATACGTTATTGTGTTATTGTAAACGCGTATCGAAACCATATTTCTATCACCATGTTAAATGGATATTGAAATCATAAACTATTTTGCATAAATAATAGTCAATAGTCCGTATTGGCAAATGTTACGGATAAAATATTGCACAATCCTGGAACTTTTTATAGTTGTTTCGCTTCATGAAAATATGTCGACGCAAGTAATAAGGTGTACAATAAAAGTGCAAATTGGTCTGTAGTGCAAACACATACCTGGCAGTTCAAACATGAGGTTTAAGTGTAATATTATTCGCCATAGGATAGATTTTACAGTTAATTACAATAAAATTGTAATATTAATTAAATTTAGAATAAAAACTTTACAATTTTCGTCAAACAAGTTTTTAAAAATGCACTTTTTGTAAGAATTTTTTATTTATACAATAGTTGTATTAATCTCAGTAGCTTTATGCTAATAAACTTTGTGTGCTACACAAGGTTTGTTTGGAAATAAGCAGTTAGTTAAAAGCTGTAAGTTTTAACTTTTCCTGCCATGAATATGCAACCTGTCAATTTTGTTTGTACTAATGTTTAAACATGTTATAAGAAAAATGTGAATCATTAATTTTATTTAGGAAATGAAACTATTTTTCCGGATTTAAATCGCGTGAATTTGTTTTTTCAAACAAACCAACAAACTTTACAGGTCACGGTTGTCTATGTGTAACAATCGCGAAAACCTAAGAACTCGATATTAATTTTATTATTACGTATATTTGAACTGCCTCTGTGGTCGAACGGTTATCATGCCGTACTGCCGCGCTACGCAGAGGTCCCAGGTTCGATTCCCGGGCCGGGAGTAATATTAGTATGGCCTACATTTATTTCTCTCGTGAGTTTGGGTGTAATAAGTGATTGTCTGTATGTCCATGGCAACCGCGACACAGAGGGATTCCCTAGTTCGGGGCTATGTTGAGCGCGTGTGTTAAGTATGTGCGTTAATTAATAAATATTTATAAAAAAATGGTATAAATTATAGCTGAAAAGTGCTGTCATTCTTAAGCACAATTTACTTATAATTTGGGTTGCCTTATTTAGTGATAAATAAATCCGATACAAGTATTATTGGTGATTGATATTTAAAACCTTGCAACCTGTCCTTGATGTTTAAAAGTATTATAAGAAGAACGAGAATCATTAATTTATTATTACGTATAATTAGAACTAACTAGACAAACTAGAGGTTAAATGACATAAATTATAGTTGAAAAGAAAAATAATGTGATTCTTGAACACAATTTACATATAATTTGGGTTGCCTTATTTAGTAATAAATAAATCCGATATTTATTGGACGATTGATATTTAAAAATAACTGGTATAGTGTACTTTTGTTATACTTAAAAAAACTATTTTAAGATTACTGATTAATAAACTCAATAACTCTTTTAAAACACATACTCATTTTATTCTACAGATACATAGTAAGGTACTTTTTCAGTGCCTTACTATGTACCTGGTAAAATGTGTGAATACGAAATAAGTAAAAAATACAAAATAAAAAAATAAAAGTGTAAAAAAATTCCAACAGAATTTTCCAAATATTCATTAATTAGCATTCACAGTGGTTTTAACTAAGATTTTATTAAAATTAATATTTGATTGTTTGATTGATACTGTTGAAAATAAGTACTAAATTATTCATAGTCAGGTTTTAGATTTTTTATGGAATTACTCCAATAATTATTATATAATGCATCTAATATATGAAAAGGTTGCCGTGAGATAATAACGACAAAGTAATACTAAGGCCACAGCAACCGCATAGATGACCTATCAAATAACCGCGTGGACTAAATACCACACATTGTTCATGAGACGGAAAAAAGAATAATACCTCAAGTGATGTATTTAATTTTATGTATGCCTATTGTACACTCAAAAATCGTAACATTTTATGTGAGACTATTACTTACAGTATAAACCATCGTCTCGAAATCGTTTTTTTTTTTTCATTTTAGCAGTCTGGCTAATAAAGAACATTGTATATGTTACTTTTGCAGCAAAATTTGACGACCTCGGTGCCCTAACGGTTTGCATTGTGGGCGCCGGGACCTCTCGGGTTCGATTGCCGGTAGGACCATTTTGTGAAATGAACTTTATTAAATTAGTTCTGGTCTGGGTGTTCTGAGAATGCCCCAGAGTGAATTCCGGTGCTCTGATGCTCATATTACAGGAAATTCCCTAGTTTGAGACCAGGCAATTGGTGTGGTTGAAAAACGCGATATAACATAACAATAACATAAAGGACACTAGCTTCTAAAATCCGCATTTCGCACTATTACGACACCTTCATTTAACTATGCTATAGAATGAAGAATTGTTAGATTTTAGACTCTTGTCGGTGAAGCCTTCTCCACTCCTCATGGTTCATAGCCAGTTCTTTGACCTCTCTACAGCTGTTCCCTTTGATCTTCTTTTTTATTTGTTCACTATACACCATTCTTGGACTTCCTCTTTTTCTTTTCCCTTCTATTCTCCCCTCAATGGTTACTCTCACAAATTCGTCATAACGCTACAAATGTCCAAACTTGTTCCCTTTCTCCTCTTTATTGCATTCAAAAGACATCTCTCCTCCCCAACCCTTTCCAAAACTTCCTCATTTGATGTCTTTTCAGTCCATTTTATTTTTTCCATTCGCCCTTTGTCATAATTTAATTCCATTTTTGTTATAAACATAAAAAAAATTAGGTCAAGAAACAATTATTTGTTGTTTAATGAAAAAGAAAACGAATTTTTGCCCGAAAGATTGCGTTTTTTTCGTTTACGTTACTTGAGTCTAAAGGTGTCATTTATATAATCCTCAATGATCTTAATCATGCGAATTACACATTTTTATTGCGACCCATAACTCGACGGTAGGCTCATTAAGTGCACTCGTTTCGCAAATTAAAATTATGACTACCAACTGATAACTACCTACTTGCCTATTGCATAATTGGTATAAAGATTGTTACTAAGATGAACGTAATTTTGTAATTACTAAGTGCTACAAGAATAATAAATAATAAGTAAATAACGCACACACACTCAACATAGCCCCGCACTAGGAAAATCCTGTCTCGCAGGTGCCATGCACACAGACATAGACAACCACAAATTACACCTAAACTCACGAGATAAATAAAATGTAGGCCATACAGATATTTGTCCCGGCCCGGTAATCGAACCCGGGACTCTGTGTGGCAGTCCAGCATGGTAACCGTTCGACCACGAAAGCAGTTAAATGATATACGATTACTCCAACATTTCTGAACCAATTTCGATGATTATTTGAAGAAAATATTCCGCCTCTAATTATGGTTAATTAGAGGATTTATACTTGCATACCCTAGCACTATAATGCTGCATTTATAATGTATACTTGACTTTAGATTTACAGCTACTTATACATGCCCTATGGCCCTTATTTCCATTAAAGTTGTTTTAGAAGCTTACATCAGCACATAAATACGCGTTCGGCGTATCGCGCTTAAAATAGACATTCAATCACCTGTGTATAGAACAGCACATTGGTCTTAGGATCGTAGAAGCTAGCCGAGGCCTGGGACCGTTCACCTTTGTCGCCCAACAGCTGTGAAGGCAAAATACAAAAATTATGCTTACAAACTTGAAAAAACAAGATATCAATGCCGACACGTAAATAACTTTAGAATGTCGAAATGTTCCGTTAAACTGTAAAAAATAAACGTGTTTTTTAACGAGAACTTTTTCTGCTTCCGCTTCAAAAAAATGTAGTCATATTAAAATGACTTATTAAACAGGTAAATATTTTAAGAAATTGCGAATGGTACAAACTAAAACCAATCTCTGTACAAATACAAATAATTTTACGTTTTGTGATACCCATTGTATGGTAATGCTCGTAACATTGAATACATTTTAAAAACATCGTACCTGTACATTCACATAAAAATTCTAACGATTACTGAATACAAATTTTACGGTATTAGCAAGTTGGTATTATTTTAATGGTAGTTAGTATTACTGGTTGGTACCTTGAAATCGTGGAACGCCTCCTCCTTGTTAATCTTAGTGTAGTTGCGCAGGAGTTCCGTTGATACGCAGAATTGCTTTGTACTTGAGAATGCGTGAAAGAACATGGTACGGTAGCTATAAAGAAGGAATTTTTAGCATAAAAAAACATGTAAGTATTATGTATCTTTTAAAGAGTACGTAATATAAAATAAATTAAAGAAAGAAAAATCCAAGGAAAAAGTAAATGGGAAGTAGGATGAGTTCAATAAGGACTGGAAAGAATTTAGCTATGAGATTGAATAGTGGATGGAAAAAAGGGAATTATTTTTCCAACCGTTGTACAATATATAATATATGTATTATAACAACATCATGTGCCAGGCAACCACACCAATCGCCTGATCACTCTACTATGAATACCAGAGCTACGGAATTCACTCCGGGGCACTTCCCAGAACACCAGATCAGAACCTATTTAAAAAGTACATTTTCCCCAAATTGGTACTGCAGTCTAAGCTGTTGTGTCACTGTGGTCGTCATACAATTGGTATAAGATTTAAAAAAATACATAAATATGATCATCAGAAACTCTTTCGTACATGCATATACATATATCCAGATCCACATACGCGCATTTAAAAATAACTAGAGACACCTATTGAATATAGTTTCACACATATTTTTTTTATTATTTTCCTATGTTGAAGACACGATAATGGTGACGGTGTTAACTAACTATGCGTGTTGAATCACAAAACAGACAAAATAAAATAAATAGGCAAATAAAAGTCGACTACACGGATCGTTAAGTACAAAAATTTCAATTTTGAAACTGCATTATTGCAATTAATTTCACTATTAAATAGTAATTTATGCTTCATTGGCTTTATCAAAGCAGTGCTTTGACCGTCGACATGACCTCGGCGAAGTGTTGTTTGTTTTCGGGTCAGTGTCGAGCCGATAAACTGTTTATACTTGCATAAGTCATAGACCATCTCAGTCTTTCGCTGACCATAAATATATCTCACTGAGTAACATACAGTTGTAAAGTTAAAAAACGTAGTTTTGAAACTTTATGGACAACTCCACGTAACCTTACAAATCGTATCTGTTTTAGAAACTTTACTTCGCGTACTTAGAAGTGTCAGCTAAATACATACATAGAGGCAATTCAAGTTAAATATTTCTGAACAAAGGTGTCCCTCTGGGTGAGTGTTTTAATCCATCATCAATCCAAGGCGGTGTACTATATATAACCCAATGCAACTTTTCTTTTTTTATGTAAAGTAGAAGTCAAACGAGCACACAAGCGACTTGATGGGAGGTAGTGTCGTCACAGACAGTCGTCATAGACATCTGCAACATCACACGGGCTGCCAATGCGTTGCCAGACTTTGAGAGCCCTGTTGACATGCTTTTTGTAGAACCCCATGTCATAGAGCAATGGAAATTCAGTAGAGTGACCATTCCACATTTGTAGTAATGCCCGCGTGATCTCACGATGTGTCTCATCAAAGACGTGGGGATAGGCTTTACTCCTTTGGTGGGAGGTGTGATGGCGGAAATGTGATGATGGCACCAGTTCCAAAAGTTCCTCTGAGCACTTCCCATTGTAAAGAGGGTAGTAAACACACAGAGAACCAACGTCTCTCCGTAGATTAAGGGTCTTCAAACCGTCTGTGTGTTTAGAATCATCGACAACACGAACACCAGGATGACACACGTGTAATTTCACATGTACCTAATATCAATTAAGGGTCCATGCTATCAATATAAAGTTTCTGTGTAACCGTTAGTAGTTCTTTGTGAATTTAAATATATGACTCATGAAAAGTAATTTGTTACACTACACATTGTTTTCCTTAGTACAAGTTGTTACGTAACAACAGTTATCTGTTTATAGGCGCGAACCGCAAGGCTAGTTTGTACGTGATACGTTCTCCCATTCTGTCTATCTAAACGATCATTGGTGCAAAATTGAGAAATGGTAATATAATAAATTCAATTATATTATTTATTAAACTCCAATTACTTATTTGTTCAATTAGTTCACTACGTCTAGATAGTTTAAAGAACGCATTTATTATTAAATTACTTTTTTTTAAATATAATATCAAAAGAAGGGACGAACAAGTCGTGCGCCTGATGGTAATCTACAGGCCTGTCCAGTTGCAGTGCCACTCAGAGCTTTAAATAGCAAAGTTCTGAGGGGCATTGCTAATGCACCCGTCACTTTGAGACATAGGTTGACAAGTCCCATGTGCCTGTAATTTCACCTACACTCTTAATCTTCAAAACCGCTACACAGTAATGCTGACATTACTGCTTAACAATGCAAATACTTCGTTATAGTAAGGCTCACCCATTTTCCCTCGGCTCCGACAGCGCCAATCCGAACACCCCATCAGTCCACTGGAACTCAATGCCTCCAACGTTGTATTGTCCAGCCAACGGGTCGAAGTGGAAATAGTGATGTGACACTCTCCAAGAGTCATTTTCTTTCAGAGTGTATACTACAACTCCGTAGCCCCCCAAATCAGGGATATAGGCGAACGCGTTGTCGCAGGTGTCCTTGTCTACGTCTACCACCTAATATAGAACATTTTAATACAAATGAGTAACTTTCAGGTTAGTTTTCTCTACCTAATTTAGGTGGCAATGTTTTAAGCATTATTTAACATATTATTTAAGCATTCGAGTAAATAATCGTGAAATATAAAATAATATTTGAGAATACTACACTAGAGTATTAAATAACACTTCAAGATAAAATTGTAAAATATTCAAGTAACAAAAATTGTCACCGAAATTAAGTAGAGAAAACTAACCTGAAAATTGCTCAAGCACAGCTCTCTGAACAATTATGTCCATAAAAATGTGAATCCGATCTTTTACAATCTCACAGTACCAGAGATGGGCAAGCGCCCGGGTTTTAATCTGCTTTGTTAACGGCTGTTTTAATCGGGTTAAAGCCCATTAACGTCCGAAATCGAGGGCAAAAACAATTTACAGCTAAATGTTTACAAATTGAGTTTTGTTCAAATGTAATGATTTTATTACAAAATATTTATTGCTTGCTTACATATTTCTCCTTTCTATTGAATCGATTCGCTCCAAAATTGTATTGAAATGAATCTACACAAAAACTTGTTATATATTTGTATTGATTTTCAAAAAAATTTATCGTAATGTGCATCCCTTGTCATGTGATACTTTGTCATGATTGCGCTCTTATATATTACAAAAATAAAACCTTTGTAAGTGAGAGTCCAAGGAAAGGTGGGTATTTTATGAAGTTCCCTCTTTTTCGTTTAAAAAAGATATTTTGTATCGAAATTTCTAATAAGTATGGAATTATACCAAATTCCATATTATTTTACGCGAGTAATGTTTTTGCTATTAATTATTTTGCACGATTTTGGATGAAAATGGGTTAAAACCCGGCTTTGGGTAAAACCTGATTAAAACCTGGTCAGGTTGATTGCGTTATAACCCACTGCCCTTCTCTGTACAATACAATCGTTTTGTATAAATATTGTAATACACTTTAAAAGAAAACAGCATAAATTAAGACAGCATAAATTGAGTAATTTTTTGTGTTTATTGTGGATACTCACAACATTAGCAAAGAAGGAGTCTTCTTTCATATCATCAACTTTGAACCAATATCTGTGGATGAGCTGATCAGTTTTCAAGTCAAAGATAGCAAGAGATGGACCGGTAACTTGATTTGGTGACCCTGAAATACATATTTTGATACATCATTCGAAAACACAAAAAATGACGCCACAAGATTTCCCAGGTCAATGTGATTTCTGTGCGTTCCACCTTAATAAACTAGTATAACGAGAAAGTGTTCAGTACTTGTACGTAATTAATCATCATAATTTGTGCTATGTTAACGTGCACTGTATAAAATCACATCCTTATTACGGCTAAACCTGGGCCAATTAGACTCCCTATATCCGTGCACTAACATTAATCCTTATCACGTGTCTCATTACGTTTTTACTTAATCTGCTTAACCCTTGCAAAAGAACTTCATGTGATTTCACTTACCAAGAATATCGGCTAGGCCACTGTCCATAACCCAAAGTCTGTCACAAGCGTCTACATACACCCTGAAGACGGAAATTATTGAGTTATTTGAAGGCAGCGATTTCGCTGAATCAGCCACTAAATTGTCTTTCCATGACGGATATGGTGTTAAGGGCTGATCTTGAGGTCCATCAATGTTTACGTAGTTCAATGAAGAAGCAACGCCGTTTTTCCATCTCGGTACTGTCACGAAGAGTTTGTTCTTCCAGCGCGCTAGTCCAAGGGGTAGATTGTGGGCTTGTACGAATTTGCCGTCTTTGATTGCGTTCTCACGGTCGGCTGGACTTTCCCAAGTGTAGTCAACTTGTTTCCACGCAAAGCGTAGTTGGGGCTGGGTCGCTGCTCCGCAAAGTGACGCCACAGACAGCGCAACTACGAGACCGATGGTTCTCATGGTCGTACTGCAACATAATCAAGTATCATGAAACAAGGCGCGTCCTAGTTAGACAGTCTAAAGTATTTAGACGCTCAATTAATAATCTCTCACGTTTCTGTCGTTAAATTGTTGTTTGTGACTTTACATAATCTACTAAAAAGAAATTATTCATAATTATGATCATCACTCAAAATTAAAAATATTTTTGTCCCAGTACTTATTATTAAAATACATTTCATAATACAATAAACGAATTCGTAAAAACAATTTCGAAATCTTTTGAATTTAAAGTTGCGTATATGAGATGTCGCACGTCCTCAATAAACCATCTCGACTGTTTTAAGGCTTGATTCGTCGACAGTACGGCGCCGACGCAGCATGATATCTCAGTGTTGTAACTGTTGGTAATGACTGCATTGTGACTTGGAGCGCCTCGGGTCTCTAACACCATAATAAAGATAGCTGGCTCACGTTTTTGCGGGTGGTTGTGATCTTATTATTTTGAAACGACCTGGAGTATCATCTCTTCCTTATCCAAGCACATCGAGCTTGTTATGCGTTCGGCATGGGAACTGTGATGCGTTGGTTACACAACAGAGTTGCAAAGTGTTATTAAGAGAATTTAAATTGATATCGATTTTGTCTTTAATCGTTATATATAATGCTTTGGTCGATATGACAATCACAGGCTTAACAAGTAAAAGTTTAAACTTGCATATGTTGACAACTTCCGATGCAAATCTCTCGTCAGGGAGGAATGTCGACAAGTCACGAGTTTTTGCGGCAACTTGCTCAAGGTCTGCCGGTCTTTACTGACATGAATTTAAAAAATCAAGGCATGTTCCAGGAACTCTTTTTATACCTTTGTCATTCAATATATCTAACTTAAAAATTATGCCTTGTAATTATATTTTTGAATAGTTGATGGGTAATCCAAATTATTTAATCATTTAAATGTTGTTACATATCATCCTTAGTATTATGATATATAGATTAAATAAATTACTGTAGAAAAAAATTTATGGATACTATGAATAGCTCAACTACGACCACGTTACACTATGATGGAAAAACACAGTCTTCATTGTCAACCGGTATCATACATAACAATACTAAGAGATTATTTAAGCGACACGAGAAAATTTTTTTGCATCTTTGCCTTAATGCATAACTTAATAAGGGTATATCTATAAATAATAGAGTATATTAATGAACACGTTTTTGTTACTCATACGTACAGTTATCATTATTGAATCGCGTAATCGTTATTTAATTATTTAAATGATTTAAAAGTATTTAACGTATTTGTCTTTGAACGGTAATTTATATGTAATGCATGAACATTTCAGTGTTTGAGGCAAAGAAATGTATAATACTTAAGACAGAATTGAACGTAAATAAAAATACGCTAAACTGAGAAGACGAGTCGATTATATGCCTATCACTTTCATTTGTGGAATTTGTCTATCATTTATTACTAAAAGTACTAAACGAATTACAGTGTCAGTGCAATTAGTAAGTATATAACTAAATATAGTTACTTAATTACTAATTATTTAAGTTACAATGAAAAAAGTGCAATCAATTATTCCAGGTATTCACAATTGATTCTTGGACAGCACGCTTTCAATGTATTTTCAAAATACGACCAACATAATTTGCAGAGTTAGGTACCGTAAACTACTACAATGTTACTTGGTTTCCATTTATTTTATTAAGGTTTGGATGAATAGCGCTATGCATAAATATGTATACATAACCGTTAACTCAAAAGGAATGTTTACGGCTTCCTCAAATAAAAAAAAAACAAATCGAATTTTTTCGTATGACCGGCGATGAACCACGCCTTTTATTTTGGAGGAAAAGGTATGCAAATAACATACTTAATATAGTTATATTTGTTGATATATTTGTTATAGTTTATTTGCAAAAAATCTAAAATAAACTTGTTATTAGAATGAACAGATTCATTGATTTATTACGCGAGATAAACATATATGATATTTGATAAAGCAATGGGAATCTATGCAGCAACACAGGGCAAATTTTCGTATACTGAAAGCCAAGGCTAGGTCTCACGCTAGACAACTGCTAACAAATAATGTATGACACTTCAAACTAAGATTTAAACCCTATGTACAAAATTCAGCGTTATTCGTAGATAATTAGAATAAAAATTTACTTGAACTTTAATGAGTTCAGACAATGTTAACAATGATAACATTTTCATAGTTATTTCGAACGGATTAAAAAAAGGGTCATAAATAAAGAATGAATCAATAGGCGCGACAAAATTTTGCTCCTCTTTCCATCACAATTAACTCATTCAATCTGAATTGATAATCTCATATTACACAATGGTTGATTAGGTAATTAAGGTACTGAGTGCGTCCTGTATACACACTTCATATAATCTCGTCACTCTCACTTATTTTTTATTGCAAAAGGTTTTGAATTTAATGACGAAAGATTAATTTATGCTATTTACTAAGTCCTTAAAGTATGTTAATATTCTATATGCGAGTATAAATTGACTTACGCGTGATAAAGGTGAGCGAGAACACAGGGTCGCGACCGGTCTTTAGGAGTCGCGTAGACAGACTAAACAGTTTGATACCTTGCGAGTCTTTATATGTTCACTTCAACTTTGCCACGCAGTGTACTTATAGAGATATTTTTGTAGACTGACAGATACACAACAAAGGGATGCAGACCTAGAGTATGTATTCGTATCGGCAAATATATGCCACGATGTGTTTTTATTTAAAAAAATCACAATTTTTATTTTTATTTTACTAAAAACTACAATCGCGCTTACATACACAACAGTAGATAGAAGCAGTGATAAAAGTAGAAAATGTAAAAAAAAAACAGTGTTTAATATGTATCACTTAATGTGCTTTTCTAATGCACTATGCGTGCACACATCTTAATGCAAATTCACAATGTAACATTTTGTAGTGAAACTGATAATAATTAAAAATCAACGAAGATGTGACGATCGTTTATCAAAGTTAAAAAAAAAACACAAAATTCCAGCAAAGCACAATATGACGAACTTATCGTTTTTCGTTTCTCTACCTTTTCCTGTTCTGGTGGCGTCAACGCGAACCATGACGCGCCAATAAACATGGTTAGTTTTCCAAAAGGTCTAACTACCTTCCACCGATAGTTAAGCTAATGTTCGACGTGATTGCGCAGTAACACCATGTATAATTCAAGGCTCTCCCCGTGACAGACGCATCCGTTCTATTGAAAACCACCATTCCGCGTTAATTTAGTACCATACAGATAGGCATATTTAGGTACCTGTCACAACTTATTCCCTTGTATCAGCTCTACATTGGCATTACAATTGCTCTCTGTGTAACACTTGATGATGTTAAGTAAATAGTTGTTTTTGAACTTTTCGGACCTTAATTTTAAAATGTGGACTTTGAAAAGGAAAAACGACTCCAGACTAAGTATATTCTAAGCACGCACAGTATAAAAACATCCCAATTTGTATGTTTACATTTTTTTAATGTCTTGAAAATGATGGAAATAACGAAAATTACGCAATTTAGTGACTAAAGCGAAAAACCCAAATTACCAAAAACATCTCTTAACTAAGGCGGCTATAGCACGCCAATTTTATTATACAGCGAAAAAGGTAACTAATATCCCGATTGGAGTGATAGACAGACAACACTACCACTATTCTCCATAGCAATGAGCTAAGTGTGTACTGTATTAAGTGGCAGTTTTGTTTTCTTGCCAAAGAACCCTTTGATTGGTTAGTTTGAGTTCAATACAGTATACTTATAGCGCTTTTTTGTCGCTCTACCACATAACCTCTGCGTTGAGTGACACATACATTTTTCCATTATATGTTATAGAGCTTAGGTTCCCAAAGTTTTTGAGTCACCACCCACTTCATCATCATCATCAACTATTTTATACGTCTCACTGCTGGGCACGGGTCTCCTTTCACCAACCACTTAGGCAAAAAAGAATTTAAACAACCAACATCACAAAAAAATATTGAAAACACATATTTTTATTATATTAACACAAAAAGTCACATATATGTGTATGTATGTATATTAGAGTGTTTTATTTTTCCGAAGATGTGATTTTCATAAGACTGCTTACGCCCCGAGTCTCAGTGTTGTTTAAGAAATATATGCTGAATTTCAAGAAGATTTGATAATATTTAGGAGTTGCACACTTTGGTCACTTTTATTTCATATTAGTAAAATTTCGAATATTGAAGTGCTTTGCACTAATGGGCTTTTCATGTATGTCTTTAATTTTTTGTAGTTAATTGTACTTTAAAGTGGGAATACAAACACCCAGATCCGAGACATTCTAAATTGTCAATTTCTTCAGTTTGTTAGTCAGGTCAAGTCAGTTTATCTACATTATTCGGTCGCGGATCATACCTGATACCTTGTAGTTTTCTCAATAAAAATAATTAACATTGAAAAATCGTATTTTTGTCTACTTTTACAAAATTGATCGAAGTGTGCAACCTCTAAATATTATTCAACCTTCTTGAAATTTGACATATATGTGTTTTACACCACTGAGACTCTGAGCGTAAACAAAGTCTGCAAAAATTTTATTTTTTATTTATATATCTACCAGGTATTAAGAAGTCATGACGAATGCTCAGAATTCACTATATTCAATTTATATAGTCGTAGCAGTAGAGCTCCTTGTGAAAGAGTTCGTCCAGGTAAATACTGCCACCTTACCTATTTCTACCGCCAAGCTGTAATGTGAGCATTACTGTGTTCCGGTTTTGAAAGGTAAAGGTGCTGGTGAAATTACAGGCACATGAGACATATCAACTTATGTCTCAGAGTGACGGGCGCAGTGGCAGTGCCTCTCAGATATTTGGCGATTTAAAGCTCTGAAGATACTGCAATTGTTATGGTCATGCGTGTAGCTTACCATCAGGCGCACGACTTGTTCGTCTCGTCACTTGATAGTATAAAAAAATGAGTTTTTACCTAATACCTTGGTGACTTATACTCAACACAGATAACAAATATGTTTTAATATAATCTTTTGTCCCCTTTACTTAGTTTGTTATTGGTAATAAAAATATCATTTATGGGGTAAAAGTATAAAATTTATCGAATTGATACAAGAATTATAACAGCACGTGATTATAGAAGTATACAAGGTGTAATCGTTAAGTGTGTCCAGGTGATAATTCCGTAAATAAAGAGGTATCAAAAACCTATCAAAAGTACGTTACATTACCTAATGAGTAAAATGACATCAATAACTTTAAAAAAATAAACCTAGAAACATCCAAAATTTTGACTTTAAACGCTCAAATACATTCGTAGAGAGGCTTTAGTTGGCCTACTTTAAAAGGTAACAATAAGTTTAAAAGATAGTAAAATTATCTTTAAGATAATAAAACTATCTTTTAATTGAATGAAAAGAAAGTAATGTGTATTTTTAAGTAAGTGCAAAATGTTGTATTCAAAGCAGTTGCTCTAAACTAAAGCCTCTCTACGAATGTGTTCGTATTGGTACAATTTAACATGTTATATCAAATATATAGGAGCGTTTAACGTTACAATTTTGGATACTTCTAGTTTTGTTTTCAAGAAGTTATTGATGTAGTTTTACTCATTAGGTAACGTACTTTCGATATCAGTTAAAAGGTTTTTGATATCTCTTATATTTGCGGAAAAATCGCCTGGGCACACTTAACGATTACACCCCGTATAAGTAGGCAGTTATCAATATAAATAAATCTCTTCTATCTTTTTTTGTTATCATTTTTTGAAATATTTTAATGAATATTGGCATATATGGGGACAGGAAGAATAGATTTTGTTCAGTTTAAAAGAGGAGGGAGACTGTATCTAATAGCGTTCATCAATGAATACTTACTTATGCTAAGGTGCGTGATTCCTTACCTATTAAAAATACTGTTATCTGTTTACAAAAATAATATGAAATGTAAATATACAGCATATATACTTCCTGGAAATTGTTTATGCATGACTGACTATGACGTTTATAATCTTTAATATTTATGCACCAAGTTCATTCTAAATAAAGCATTTAAAACAATGGTAAATCATATCCAAAGCATATAACGTCTCGTAGTGTAGAAGAGTAGATAGTAGAATGCTTCTCTTAAGAGCTTGTAGAAAATAATGGTCACATAAAAATGGATAATCTAAATCTAATTTTAGCAACTTACAATATGAATATTTTAATAGATAAATATAATTGTCGGAAACCCTATTTTCTGTTGTAGTTTACAATAAAATAATTCGTCATCGACTGAAACATTTTATATAAAATACAGTTTCAGTATTGTTTATTACTTATTTTTGTGAAACTACTCGACTACTTTGTTATAATTACAATTTATAACTACATACCAAATTATATTAAATCCCTAGAAAGACTTACACAATTCAATAAACAACTAAAGGCATTTCTTGTACTAAATGTTATTATGGCTTAAATTTTTTGACGATATATATGATGACAAATAACAATAATAACACAAATGAAAAAATTTCGACAACTCTCATTAATAATTATTTAAAATGGATGTATTGTATAAAGTATGTTTTCCATTTCTAATTATGAATAATGCATCATAATAATGTGACATAATAATTTAATCTTACGATATTATATTGTAATAATTTAATATAATTAAATAGTGTGATATATGAATTTAGCCCTTAGACGTTACTGTGCCCTTGCAGGGCGTCACATGTATACCACCTATTAATGTTCCATCTGAAATTTGTAATGTGATATGCAATAAACAATTGAAAATTATTAAGATGTTATAATTATTAATACAAAGATCGAACACAAAGAAAAATTCCTTCGATTTGACAAAACTGTAACCTGTGTCTGTTTTTGCCAATCTAGGGCCAACATGTGCCTGAGTCTGGCAAAAACAGACACAAGTTCGAGTCCTGTCAGTTCGAAAAAATTTTTCTTTATATTCGTCCTTTGTATTCATAATTATAATATTTTCTTTATGCTTGATCACTGTAATCACGTACTACAGTCTACTAAATAATTCTAGTAGTACTTCTACTAGAATTATTTACTAACTTACTTTTCTCTGTAACGATAAAAGTACATAAACGTATAATAAATCATGAATATGATGTGATTGCACCTAGCGACCTTGCTAGCATTTTGTGGGAAAGGTGTCATCCATCAAAAGTTAAACTCGTGCGGCTAGACCACTGGTGGCCGTGACCTGACGTAATTGAGTTATTTCAAACTTTTTACACTGCTCGAATCGTAGCTGAGTGTTCTGTTCCAAACGCATTGTTGGATGAGAAATACGTACCTATGCCGCAGCAATAAAGCGTTCACTCGGCCGCTGTACAATTGAAATAGAGCTTCTATTTCTTTATGAATAAGATCTCGTACGTACAATTTTATGATGATGCACATGCTGCACCTAGTGTCTGGTTTAGAAAAATACCATTATAGGTAGCCGTATGAATAAAGGAAAGCAAAAGAAAACCGCTCCATATCTTTCTACATTAGTTTTGATTATAGTGACCCTCCCTACAGACCCTTAGGGTAGACGAGAAGGGCACTATAACCAGTGCGCGCACAGGAATCTTATAAGTTCAGGTTCTGACCCCCAGATCAGCCAGTGTACAGGGTTGTCACAGACCACTGTCACTTAACTTCATTAGCCACCGACCCGGGTGCATATAGAGTAACCCTCCCTATTTTTCAGATAGGTACCGAAGCTGTATGCATGCCCACTTTCCGTTGCGCGTTGCATAATTACGGGTTGCCACCGCTATGCCGTCGACACTAAAGTCCACTACCAAATCTCCTCGTTGGTGGCGGAGCTGTAAGGCACGCTTACTTCCCGACGCCGAAAAACGACCTCTAGTTCCCAATAACCTAAGCGGCTGGAGGAACCGGAAGATATCTAGCTTATCCTCCACTAGCTCTCCAGGCTAGTGCCGGAAATGGCAGTCGCAGTGTCCTGCGACAATGTCCGGACATAACTTCCAACTAAAAGGGCAACTCACGTGTCCCGCGCGTCTCCTCGCTTCAGGCCCTCAACTAGACCGCTACAAAGACGCGCTAGCTGCGAATGAGACAGACGCCGCGGTCAAAGAAAAGATCTGAAAACTTTCGTTTTAATAACCGTAGAGCTCCTTGTGAAAGAGTTCGTCCAGGGAAGTGCTGCCACCATACCTATTTCTGTCTCCAAGTAGTAATGGGAGCATTACTGCGTTGCAGTTTTGAAGGGTATGGGTGCTGGTGAAACTACAGGCACATGGGACTTGTCAATTTCATGTCTCAGGGTGAAGGGCGCAGTAGCATTGCCCCTCAGATTTTTGCAATTTAAAACTCCAATTGGCACTGCAACTGTTATAAATAGGCGTGTCGCCTACCATCAGGCGACGTACGAAGAACGAATTGTTCGTCCCGTCACTCGATGTCGTAAAAAAAAACTAATTTTCTAAAAAACAATTCAGCCTTACAATGAGCAATTGCTTTAAGTATTTCGATTCAGTCAGTATAAAGATTTCTTAATGATTACTTCGGAAAACTAAAGGAAATTGAGCTTACCCGACCAACAGATTTTGCTAGTCACGAACATCAGCACTTGTTTAAAAAGTAAAAAGTTTAATCCTTTAGACAAAAAGGTACTTACGTTTAAAAAAAAACGATTCATAAATTGTAAACTACGTTCTCAGTTCTCTCCTATGGAATAAAATTTATTGTCTAGAATGGCAAATGGTTCAGAACGCATGAAAAAAATGGTTAATGAAGTAAGATGCGCGTTTAGCGGACCGTTGGTAAAAGCAGGCATCCATGCGCGACCGAGCGTTGATCTCAGCTGCGTATACGTCGCCGTAGTAAGTTCAGCACAACGATGTAATCAACTTAAATGCAACTAATGTCTGTTGATTTTACTTACATGGATGAAGATTCCACAACTGTGATGAACTTTTAGGAATTTACCTTTACTTATTGCCAACCTGAAAAACAAACAATTTTATTATAAGACAATAATACAATTTGAGCATAATAATTTCTTAATAACATAATGTTATTTTAAGTTATTTATTAATTATTACCTGCGTATCATTTTTAAGAACAGGTGGAGGTCTTTGTCAATCAATGTAGCCTAATAATTGGAAAATAAAAACATTGAATTAAAAAGTGTTTTTTAGTTATTTATTTTTTAAACACACTCAACACTTACGGCTACTATACAATAAACACAAAATGCGTTTTTATAAAAATAATGAATCAGTCGACGTAATAGGTACGTAAAACAAGTCAAGAGTATGGGCACATGATAACAATTATTAACACCAATGTAGTAAACAAAAACCTAAGAATAAGCAACATCAATATAAAATTATGTAATGGTAATTATAAAACGTGCTAGTCAAAAAATTTTAGAAATATTGTAAACATGTTAGAATAGAGAACTCTTAAGAGGTTATTTTTTTACCTATAGAAACTGCTATTTTAGTACATTTATAGCATATACATATGCTAAATATTTTATCAAATATGCTACATACTAAGCTAGACGGAACAATAGAAAAGATTTTTAAATTAAGCTTATAACTAAAACATTTTATGCATTATCTAATAAAGCATAAATCTCTATCAACAGTTACCAGTTCTCTTGCAATAAATGATGTAATCGGTATGATCATGATCGAAGACGTCATCCTCGTGGTATCTGAAGGGCTGGGTGTGGAAGTCTTTGGGCAATCTCGTGGCGTATTTGGGTTTAAAAGTAGGCTCTGGTTTACGGGCAGGCCACCTTCGTCTATTACGGTCGGAATAGGTAGGACGAGAGAGTCGACGAGGGCGTATACGAGATCGGCTGTAAATAAATAATACATATATGTAGAAATTTGATTATAAATAAACTTGCGGTGTGCATAAAATTCCTCCAAAAAGCAGAATTAAATTTAATGACATTACAAAATATTTATTGCTTTCTGATCTAAACGATTCTATTTGCCTTCTTATTGAATCGATTCTTTCGAAAATTGCATTGAAATAAATCGATACAAAAAATCGTTATTCGTATGCATTTAAATCGATCTTCCTAAAATCTAATGTGCATCCTTAATAGTAAGAATCCACAGGATTGCAAAGTGAGTATTGTGTGGAGTTGCCTCTATTTCGTCCAAAAAATATTTTTTACAAAGAAATTTGCAATAAGTATGGAATTAAACTAAATACCGTATTCGCCGTTTCTGCCGACGATTTTGCTTTGGGTAAAACCCGGGCAGGTTGATTAGGTTTTAACTCACGGCCCATCTTTGGCTACGATCGGTAGTGCGCCCACCAAATGCGGTATTTACACTCTGCTATTTGAAAAATCTTATGTCCAGCATAAAAATTAATAATAATAACAATTATATTATATGTCGTACAATATAATGTACATAAACAATCTGTGAATTAACACGGAGATGCTGCAGCCCATCTCCTAAATATATCCCACAATAGTAAAGCGTACTTTTTATCTCTACATCTATATACTTTCTGCTTTGCTTAAGAATGTTTTGCGTGTTATTGAAATATGTTTTCTAATAATCATAGTTTTCTTTTTGTGTTACAGAAATTGCTTCGATAAAATATCGTTTCGGTAAAATGTCATTTTGATTTACATTAATCATTTCTTCACTTCAAGTGACGCGAAATATTTACTTGCTTACTTTTGCATAACTATATACAATGAAATAAAGGCATAGATTTGCATGTTACGTGGCATTAAGGGAACAATATGAGATTTTTCCCACTAATTCTTATTTTTTAAGTGACACGTCTATCCACAACAGTTTCGGTGCCACTCAGAGCTTTAAGACATAAATGTCTTATGCAATGGGCAATGCTACCTCGACCATCATCCTGAGGCATAAGTTGACAATAGTCCCATGTGCCTGTAATTTCACCAGCAGCTCTCTTATCGTACCCTTCTAAACCGGAACGCAGTAATGCTGACATTACTGCTTGGTGGCAGAAATAGGTAAGGTGGCAGTACTTCCCTGGATGAATTCTTTCGCAAAGAGCTCTACTGCTACAAACAATAATAGAAAACAAAAATGTCGTTGATGTGATTTGGTACGCAAGTTAGCATGATAAGATCATGTGAGCGTAGTTGATGTCTTTTGTACGGAGACTTATTTTCATTTTATTGTAATTACATAATAATTATATTATAAGACTTATTTTGCATTATATTATAAATATTATAATTACGTAATAATTATATCATAACAAAAGATATCAACGAGATTAATATTTTGAAACGTTTAATTTACTTGACATAAAAGAAAATCAAGAAATCAATGTAAGTAAAGGACCACAACGTCTCTTTATGTAGAGATTGAAGAATTACCACGAGAAAGAAGTTACTGTTTTTAAATCATTTCAACTTACCCTCTAGGTCTCTTAGCATAAGGCACCTTCTTGCTGGTCTCCGGACGGGGTAGGTAATCGTCATCTTCGTCATCGATGGGGTCTTCTTCTCGCGGTCTAGTGTGGTGGAACACGGGCCTGATTTGCGGGATAGACACCGGATACGGCTTTACAACCGGGACAGGAACCTATATGAATCAGCATTATTATTTATACAGAAATACGACCTTAACAGATCTGTGATTCAACCTCTGCGCATTACATGAGAAGATTCCAGTTATTTACCAGTTGAAATAATCAAAAAACTAATTTTTTTAAATCGATTCTAGTTGTACGGGATTCTGGTACCTAATTCTTTAGATTTATATATTGTAAGTGATATGAATGACTGACACATTATTATAATGAAACATGTTACAATATTATTTACATAGATTAGAGAGTAACGAATTGAAAACTTGAAAAGTGTATAAAGGGTTTTGTAAATCTTCATTAGCAAGCAGATAAGTATAATTTAATTTTGATTCATGGTTTAATGCGCAAAGAAACAGAACTACTACAGACACAAGTGTGTTAAGAAAAGTGCAAAAAATTTAAACTTTAGAAGGTCCATCTCTCATGGTCACAAAGTCATGGTACCTTTTAATTTAACCCGACAAGTTACTACTCGGACAATATGTGGTTTACCAAGTAGAACTGATATGGGCTCTCATTCTTCCGATACTTGTACGTGTGATTTTTAGCGTTATCTTATGCAGCATTCAAAAAACGTTAGTTACGTGTGCAGACTAGTTACAGGCCTATAATACTGAGTTTTGTATTTTATCTGTATATTATGTTTAGGTGCTCTATTTTAGAAATTCGGTTTCTATTTCATTTTGGTATTGGTATTGGTGCAACGGGCTAGTTTCCGCAACTCGACGTCGAGGCGCCTATTTTGCGCCTGTTTTTTTCTATTTCATTTATATTTGTTTTTGTTTATTCTAACGAATTTTACGACCAATAAAGGTACACCCTAAAAAATCAAGAATATTTCTTTGTGTTGATATTTTTACATGTTTAACCCTTCTAATACCGCACATAAAAATGTCACTACTTTTCTTGTCGTAGTACTTATAATGATTCAATATAAAATGTTCAATGTATGTAAAACACTCAATTTTATCAGTGTGTCGTTGATACTTCTGTATGGAAAAGCAGTAGGCGCCAACTACACTGAAAACACTACAAATCGCACAGTAAATCCGGTAGTTGGTTTTATGAGATCCATATAGCGAAACGGAGTCATAATCTAATATTTAATTTTACGGTAAACGCAGTTACTGTCCATGATCGTATTAATATGTGTACTTCAAGTATATCTTAAAATAAAGAAATGTAATAACAATAAAGTCATCGTAACACGACCAAAGGCAATAGTAGACTGTAACAAACAATTAAATAACACGGAGCGTTGACATCATTATTATCAGTAAACATTTGCTTTGCTGATCATATCGCATCTCATAATTGTCGTCATGACACGAACAGTTACACCAATTACCCAAATGAAACCATTTTAAGCAGTAACGTTGTAAATGCTATTTTTCACACATCGATTGCGCCGAACCTCTCTTCGCAAGTATAGTATAAGACTGCTAAAGCAGCCCCTTGTCGATTATAAGCATTTCTGAGGTTTTTCTAATATAGAATAACGTGACAGATAATTAATTTCGCCCTAACATTTTACTACCCGAGCAAAATGAAAAAAAAAAATACGATGGATGAAGCAATCACAAAAACTACAGTTTTCTTGACTACATACTGGCGAAAGTGTACTTGTTACATGTCCAATGTTCTCTTGGACAGTGCATTATTTAGGTATGTTAACGAGCTAGGTATTCGCATCATCGTGATGTAATCACGTAACAGTTGGTGAAACCAGTGAATTGTAAAACAAAAGACGAGCTTGGTTGAAAAACAGAATGCAGTTCTGCTATTTTAGGAAAATGTGACAGACAAGCGCCAAATCCCAACTTGCTGTTGGCAAAAACAAACGATGAAGAATATAATTAACAAGAATTACATCCGTGGCGATTGAGTCGACTAAGACATGGTAATTTAATGGTCCTAAGCACAGTACTTAATGACAAAAAAAAAAATACGACTCATCTCATAATTGACGATCACAGCAGACCGTCAAGGTTACATTGACGTCGGTCCTTTGATCTATGGAAGCTGTACCAAAAATGGATTTTTCTCATTTCTATAAGAAAATTATTTCAAACAGTAAAGTTGCTCTGCTTGATCATTTTTTTTTTGTTTTTGTTGCTCTGACTTTTTTAGTATTGTTTTGTTAATATTAATCTAAGCAAAAACACTTAAAGACTATGGAAAATATGGTCTATAATTTTTGATTCGGTGCGTTTGTTTTATCATTATTAAAAAAAATATTCGAGAAATCATTTCTACGCACGAATTTTCGTGAACTAAGTTCTTCGTATAAGAATAAGAACTTATACTAAATATTGTCATAAATTATCGTACACTTGAGCAATCTAAATTAGTTTAGCGATAGTACCACGCAAGTCTATTGTTTGCAAAAATAACTACCACTCTTATGCGGTTATTAAAAATTATCATCCAAAAAGGTTCTACCAATCAGGCGCTATCACCAATTCTACAATCATAACTATCATTACAACGAAAATTACTCCAATCTTAGCCAAAATTATATCTAGCTTAGATTAGATATCGCTAGGTGGTCTAATTCTACGATATTTACATATAGGTCTGTACACAACGAACCTCTTTTTCAACGGGCACTGGTACGAGTTTTTCGATCGGGTAGGGAACCTTTTTGACAACAGGGTACGGCACGGGTTTTTCCACCTGTACGGTCAATTCCCGAATAACCGGCACGGCGACGGGTTTTGGTATGGGCACCCTCACTGGGTACGGTTGAGGTACCGGCACTATTACCGGATGAGGTATTTCGATCTGTGAATTTAGGACTAGATATAATTTTTAATTATCTTCCTTTTAGACGTATATGAAACTACGTACAAAGAAATCCAAAACAAAATAAAATATATCATTTATTATCAGACTGTGGCAGAAACAAATATTAGGTAGCCATGCCATATTACTGTCATTTATTTTCGACGGTTCAGCGTATTTTACGTAAAGTTGATACAGTATTTATAATGTCCATATTTATTAAAAAAAACTAATTCGTACGCACAGAAATATACGAGTATGTTAATAGCACCTATTTAACAATAATGGAGCAATTACTGTCCCCGCGCAAAACATGCAAATGCACGTCTTCAACTTGACCGCGAATGCAGGAAACAGCGACAAAGTTCTTTACATGCATTATTAACACGCGAACTAGACTTACCGTTTGCATAATCTCATTTGCTTACAATCACTTTTGCTTCGACGAAAACAAACACATATCGTTTATCTACATTTAATTCTAAGACTGCATTTCGTCTTAATTTTGAATTTAAAGATTGTACGGTGGTACACTACTACTACTCTTCAATATAATCTCAATGTTTCCTCCATTTCGCAGGGATAAAGAAATAGAAATATTTTTCTTACATTCACCAATAGGCTTTTCCTAGTCCCTTTCACTGAACTTGTAACAGCTAATGTACCATGACGGTTAGGTCGATGAGCTTGAATATTATTGGTGCCTAACCACTCGTTAGCTATCGATTTGTCCTCGCAATTTGCTTTCATGGGTTCGCTTTCCATAACTATTACAAAATGTCAATTTTTACGTAATAAAAACTTTACCTGTGCAATTAGAAATAGACTGCAAGGAAATAGCTCTAACTGCTATAAAATCTTAAGTGCATGTATAGTGTTTCGTGATTTCTCTCAAGTGCACGAGTGCGCATCATCTTACTGACCAGAGCAGGTGAGGAAATCAGTGCGCGACGTACAACGTCTGATTTTCCGATCCGCATTCTTTCATATCGGTTTTTTACTGGGTATCTAATTACATAAAGCATGGAATATAGAAGAGAAAGAAAAGACATTTAGTCAATTTAAACAATGTAGTAGGACTTACCGCGTAAGGTTTCGGTATGGGTACATGCATAGGTTTTTGTTCGGAGGCAAAACTTTCAAAATCGTGAAGACCAGCGTTCTTGTATTTTGCCTTCATGTATGATTGTCGCCATTTATCAACCAACTTCTTATAATCATAATCACTGGACAGGTCGTTCGTAAAAGGTCTATACGACGGTAAATATGAAGGGTTCGAGGTATCGTGAGTCCTAAGCCCTAATAAGTCTTCTTCGGACTTAAATTTTGTTGAATATTCATTCGCCCATTCATTTTGTGGTTTCTTCGACTTGTATGGTCTACCGTAAGAAGCCCATTCATTCGGTTTAGCCTCTGAATATTTCCCAAAGTTATATTTATTACCATAAGGTCTTCGTGGTATATGAACTACTTCATCAGCATATTCTTCTCCAAACTGAGGTTTCTTCCCGCGCTGTTTATAAGGTGAGTATTCAGAAGTTTTGTAAACATTTCCCCACTGAGTTGTAGTTTTAGGCAAGTTAGTACCGTACAAATTTCTAACATATTCTACAGGATCATATTTATAGCCTTGCGGCTTCAATGCTTCGAATAGATCAGTATATTCTTCCCCTTTATAACCAGGTACCTTCTTGAATGAGGAGTAATCTGTTTCAGGGAATTGATAGCTAGCCAAGTCTACTACATTGCTACTGGCTGGTATGACTTCATCATTATTCATTGTCTTTTTGGGGTCAATTTCTTCAGCACCCGGAAAATTTTTAGAACCACTAAGGTCAAACGCAAAGTTCATGTTACTGTAATTCGTAGCGTATTGATAACCTTTTATTGGATTTTTCCAATTTTTAAAGTCGTTCGTATAATTAACGAAAGTCCATGGATTGTACTTAAATTTATCTTTATAATCGATGTTTCCTTTAGAGTCTCTAAATGGATTTTTGTTTTGATAGCCGAAATAATTTTGGGAATATTCCGATTCTAAATTGTTTGGTTTCAAATATTCCTTTTCAGTGACTGGTTCAATATCTTTTTTGAAAGGATCTTTGAAAGCTGATGACGAAGTTGTAAGTTTGATATCAAGATCATCAAAATTGGAATAAGAGTTCTCACTTTGGTCTCTAGGTAAAGAATCGTACGGATTTGTCGGATTTATTGTACCAGTCGAAAACTTATTTTCAAGGTCAGTAGGATAATACTGTTTGAATTTAGTAAAGTCTACTACTCTAGGAAAATTTAAAGAACTTTGAGTTGTTTTAAAATTGTCAGTAGCCGTTGGTGCATACGTTGGCGGATATTTGTAACTATTTTGATAATTCTTATGTTGCTCACCGTAGGACTGTTGTGGCTTACTTTCGTGTGTGGTCTTCACTTCAAATGATGTTGAAAATGTTCCTTCACTTGTATTAGGAGATACGTTGCTAAACACAGAGTAATCAGAAAAATTAAGTTTATTTCGGCTTCTAGAACTTAATTTTGCTCCATAAATAGGATTGCTTGAATCGCCTTGGTTTGGTGCAAACTGAACTTGTTCAGAAGCAAAACTTTGAATTTGAGATTCACTGTCAAAATTTGGCTGAGGGTATAAACTCATTTGAGAAAAGTGCAATGTACTCGCCTGGGGATTGCTATCGTCTGCCGTATTGTAGGGTTGGTTGTTCTGTGACTGACTATTAAATCCTGTAACATCTTGAGCCGTAGGAAAGGCTGGAGCATACAACCTCTTAGATGAATCTTGATTGTAGTTGCTCATGTAGCTGGTGTAGTCTGGCGAACTAGGCACAAATCCATCGTAATTCCCGACATCATTAAATCCGAACGTTGAATATGTAACCACATTAGGTTGAGGAGTAGAGTCCTCGTCACTTTTCGTCCGTTTGGTCTTCCTAGTTTTCCTCGTATCGGCAGTATTAAAAACTATGAACGTTATAAGAACAATGAAGAATATTTTCTTATACATGATGGTCACTGATGCGAACAGTTACGCGATATTCACATTGTTCGAGGCCGTCAACAGCAGGCGAAGTCCGAAGAACGACTGAGTGACGGCGGTGGTTGACGGTCGAAGTCCGCTGCAGGATGGGGGTGGCGCGGCGCCACCGCTATCAGACGTGACTCCCGGTTTTCCTATGAAAACGAAAGCGTTCACGCTTCGCCGCTCCGGCAATTTTCCCCAGATTAATTAATTCGCATATAGCGAGTTCAATGAATATCGAATGAATGCTAATAAATTTGCACCGCAATGCGTGACGTAATAGATGGCTCAGTCTATTATAGATTTAGAATGTTTTCCGTCATTAGCTCGTATAGCAATGGGTATACACGACACCAAATACATTTTTTTGTGTAATTAACTATCAAATTTGATTCCGTTTCAATAAATTTTGTTGGATTTTGAGAAACAATTATAGATAATATTCGAATTTCACTTAAATAGTTAATTATCAAATAAAACCATACAGTTGCTAAAACACGTTTAATTTGTCTATGCAAATTATTGATTTCAAATACATTTCCTCATCAAATTTTCATTACAAAGAGTAATTACTTATAAACTATTTAGTCATATCATATCGAACATAAATGGCCACATTACTGCACAGCTTCGCAAGCTGAAGCTTAATACTTAGCTCTTTTTGGAGATGCCACTTTGTACTAATATTCTACAACTTAACATTAAACAAAATATTAACCAAGTCAAAGAAAGAAGTGAAAGAATAACAAGTGGAATGATAAAAATTTTGGTGTTCTTTCGTGAGAATCGTCATCCTATGTTCTACTCTATAACCATAAATAATACCATATAATACTCTCAAAGTAAATAACAATTCTAAATAGGCACATGGATTGAACAAAAATATAATTTTCGTAAAGTGGGCAGAACGCCAAAGTCGTCGTTAGACTAGAACTACACTAGTCATAAGTTTTAAGGACATTACAATAAGCAATAGCACATTTCGTTAATTTGAAAGTTTACAATTATATTAGACTAATGTTTGCTATAAAGGTTATTAATAATAATACGAAGGCACTAGAGGGCACAATCAGGTATGAGGTAATCAGTTGACCGAAAAAACCAAAAGTATTCCGACTGTGCCTTTTAGTGAATGTGTATTGGTAGCCCTCTTTGTTTCAATCCTTTTTGTACAGATAATTCATGTAGGTAAAGCTCGCCCGAAAACTTATGAAAAAGAGAACATCGAATCTATTCATTAGTTTCATTTATAAGTTGCAGGGAGAGGTATAGCTAAAACTTTCCTATACGATACTAGTTGACTTAAGACGTAAAAATCGTTAGTTAATCGTAGCGTTAGAGTTTCAGAGATTCTACCGCAGATGTAATAAGAAACTCCAACACGTTACTTGAAACAATAGACATATAACTATATATTATATAGTACATAATGACTATGTAGAAATTTTCTACTTCTATGCATATTTAGTTGAACAGAAGTATCTGTAATAATTGCTCCTACGTTCTAAGTAAACTTGCTAAGTCGATGGTGCAATGTCGTTTACTGAATGTCAGTACTTTACTTAAGATTAGCTGTGGTTATATCACGAAGTGTACCACAGTATTACCCGTGTAGTCTTAGGAAGATAATATTTAGGTAACCGTACCAAATATTTTCTCATGTAGTACGTACTCATAGGACGGTGTTACCCGAGTTATGTATGAGCAAAATGTTATCCTATATTTCTGTTCAACCTTTATAAATTACATTTCAATTAGTAATAGCGTACATTTGTATATCACGGGGACAACTACTTATAATATTTATTAAACTTTGAAAGACTGTAGATAGCCACAGAGGTACATAAAATATACAAAAATATTTCTCATCTATCACTTTTTTGAACACTTCGATTCAAACGTATGGTCGACTCTATTTATTGGTGCATTTTAATTGGCGAAAGTTAATACTTTGTAATGCAAGCCTAGTCCGTCTTTTGTTTTATTTTCACTTTGCCCATAATATGTGTTTTTTTTTCAAAGTATAGTCAGGTGAGGTAAGAGGAACATACTTGAGTCAAATGTTTTGAGCTCTAGGAAAAAACGGATGAAGTCTTATAAGAATTTTGAAGTACACTAAACTTGACTTTGTTTAACAGCTTTACACGTTTTAATAATAAATCATTACGCTATATTTAATACTTACACATTTACCGAAAGCTTGCAAATTGTTTTAACCTTTCTCTTCCCCCAAAATATGTTGTAAGAGGCATCTCGCTATATCATATAAACCAATTTGTTTGCCTGTTTTATCCACTTAGAGACTATAGTGCTAAACTTTTTAGATTATGAGTAAGGCTTCAAGCCCCTGTTCCCCAGGTCCCAGGAGTTCCTCTTACCCTACTTGACCCTATATTTTTATCACCACAATAATAATATATAAACAGATGAATAAAGAAAACAATACATATACACATTTGTTATTTAAGCAGTAAATAACCATGCAATATTCCATGTTTGTTTTCAATACTTTCCCATTTTTCCGTTATCATTATTATTTTGTATGTCAATTAGTAAATCACGGCTCGTAATTATAATTATACGAATAAATTACGGAAAAATATCTATTCTTGGGGTAAATTTATAAACATCGCTACTTCATAAGACTTTCTCTACTAAATAAGTTATTTGAATCATTTAAATACATGTATACGCATATAATGAATATAATTTTCATATTTTTAGGTTAGTTACTAAAATTGTCAACATCTATCTACTTTCTATAACATTATTGTTACAAAATAAGTAAATATTGTATGATTTAATTCTATAACTCTGTGTGACAGGTGTTTCTAAACTACTCTCGTTTTCAGTTTACTTGGTTGGACTTGACAGCTGCCATGTGACTGTGATTTCATGTTTCGAATATTTTTTAAATATTTGCAGGTATGTCGTTTTGAAGATTCTAATTTTTTTAATGTGATTGATCTTAAACCGCATATCAAAAGAAATACGCCAACAAATGCAAGTAAGAACAAATGCCAACAACGTTTTGTGCATTGCCTGCGCTGTTATAAAAAGCGCATATCACGCTGCTACATATACTTGATAGAAAATATATCCACATAACAGCGTCAAATCGTTCTTAAATGGAAACGAGACAACTATAGGAATTAACAAGAACTATAAATGCATATAAATGGATACTACAATGTTTGTGACGTTAAAAAGTGTAGAAAAATATGTTTATCTCTCGGTTCAAGTCGACAATTACCCTTATTATATTATACCTCACGCAGTCGATTCCTCAGTCAGTGATACTATGATACGATAACCATCACCTGTTTCCAAATTAAGTAGATGTAGGCCTAGACCGACCAGAATCTCGTAATTGCATCGAACCTTTAATTCGTTAATTAAGAAGTGACAAAGATAGATGGATATAGGTTACAATGCCCTCACGTTGGGCGCCACAGTTATATCAAAGAGTGAGGTCAGTCACACCTTGCAACAAAAGAGAGGTACCATTTAATCCTTTTTATGAGATTTGATAAAAGAAATTTGTAAAAGGTAACCTCCTTTTTGAATCATTCTTTACATGTAAGGTTTTCTTGGGCGCCTTAGAGCCATATCAAGAATAAAATAATACTACTTGATTTATGTATATCAGAACGCAAAGAACGATCCAAAATAACCTTATACTGTTACGGCCTAATAAAAATCCTTAATTCCTACTATTACATATGATAATTATGTATTAATTCTGTACGAACAACCAATAATCATGTATGAACTAAAGTAATAACTAAAATATTATCATAAAGGGTGTTAACAAAGTGATTTCGATGACAAATTAATAAAATTCTTATACATACGTAAAGAAAAATTTAACCACACAAGGCTTGCATTCTAAGCGTATCTTTCACACAACACTCGCTCAATGCCTTATTAAATAATCTCATTCAATGCCCATCGTATTGCAAAAACTTTTTTAACTTGACTTCGAAAAACAGGACTTATTGATACAATAACGCTTCAATTTTAAGCCTGTAGATTAACGTTATATTGTCCCTACACACTTGCGACTATTATTCAAAAGCATAATTTTCGAGACGGCGACGTACTTAATTCAAAGTTCATGTTCTCACCACGTTTTAAAATGGGTTATTCTTTCAATATCGTCTTTTCAAAATTTTTCTTTCGGCTCAACATTTGCCGAAACCCAGCACGGTTACCATAAATAGTTACAATTCATACACCAAGATGGCGCTATTTTAGTACCTAGAAATATTCATCGATGGCGCTAGTAGTAAGCACGAATAACATTGATAGTCCGATGTAAAAGTTAAAAACGTGTCAATATAATATTATCTTTATGTATTGTGTATTATGTAAATGAAAAAATTATCTTGTTTTACGATTATGTCTGTAAAATTTACGAGTTCCATTCGTTTGGAATATACAGCAGATAATAATAGAAAAGTAAATCGCTATAAACCAAAACTCGTATGAATAACTATCATGAATATTTAATATCTTATTATGCGAAGAAATTATGAATAAATATCTCATTCCGTTCCTTAGTCAACCGTTCCATACAAAGCAATATAGAAAGTTAAGTAGGCGGAAAATCACGTGCGTACACACGTACGAGTATTATGCTTTGAATCCTTCCAAGCAGCCAGTTCATTACAATGTGTTTACAATTAAAAATTCGCAACTTTATACAAAACGTGGTGGGCTGGATGTCTATCGATGGTATGTGTAGGTCACTTATTTTGACTTTATTGACGTTAAATATGTACCTTACTTTTTACAATTTCCAAACTTGAAAAAACAATTATGATGCATGAATGTAAAATGGACAAAGAAAAGGAGACAGGGCAAAGAATGACGTCACTTTTAATGCGCAGATGCAGCAGGTGATGCAGGAGCAGCATGTCGGAGGCGCGCGCGTACTTCTGTCAGCGTTGGGTTCGTACCATCATCTTCTGGAGGCTGTTCTGCCTGTTCCAATCGCTTGGCTCGCTCAGCTATGGCCCGTTCTAATTCTGGAAATATATAAGAGCAAATCTTTATTGCGTGTAGCTATGGCTTCTTGAACAAAATCTCTAAATCTAAATGTATATGTTAGATACCCACTTATAGTATAAAGTGGAGGTCCTAACGTAGTAGTAAAGTCAATAATACAAGTAAAGCAAGCCATACACATCGCTGTATGGATTGTCTCACGGTCTTGGGTCGCATAATACCGGTTTTTTCTAGTAAATAGATTACAAGTACGATAGTTGCAAGGTACCGTCGTTCCTGTTACTGTTCTGTATAAAGTCGGATATAGTTAGGCTTTTTGGAAGAGTATCCGGCCATGTTATACGTTGTCCGGCTTTTGTTAGATTTTTATATTTGACCAAGTTTTGTTTTGTATAATTTTAGATTTCGAAAGCCATTGCTGTAATAGATGATTAGTAATAAAGAATAATGATCTATTCAATTTTATTATAATTTCATTACAATTTAAAATATTTTGATAAAAGATGAACAGCCTGGTTTTATATAAAAATATTATCGTATTAAAACTATGACACAAAATCCTTAAAATTGTAGGTTGCCTATTTACCCAAATGTATGACTAAATTGGCTAGTCTGGCCGGCTATTTGGTTTTAAGACCCGGCAACCTTACAATGTAGTTACAACGAGAGGCGAGAAAAGGAATGATGACTACTATAACATCAGTATCACAGGTGCCTGTTCCGAATCTGATTAACTAAACATTATCATCATGTCTCATAAAATGATTTATGCGAATGGAATTTACGGAATGAATTAACTTTTCGACCTCGATGACTAAAGAGTCACGTTTCTTTTCAAATTAAACAGAAGTTGAAATTGAATCATGAAGTGTTATGAAAGTTCGCACAAAAAAACCGAGAGTAAGAAAACCGGCAATTAATTGAAGTCTTGATAACAAGACAAGAAGATTCCGTAGTAAAGATAACATTACTACGGAATTAAATCACGTTAAGAGTCCAAATTTTATATCGTCATAAGTGTATCAACCTTGCGTTTCGCATCAATTCCTCGTAATCAAAACCTACATGTAGTATGAATGAATAAACTTGATAACGATAAGTGTTTACCTTTTCCAAGTAACTGAACAGCTATTTCAGTTAACATTAACGTATGTTGAAAACGAATGATTAATGAAGCATGTAACCGCAGTCACTCTATCGATTTTACGAAGTATTTCATATTTTTCAATATAGTCATTAACGGCACTTTGCTATTCGGTTATAAAACGTACCTAGCTATTTATCAGAATGAAATCAGTGTAGATAAAATATTTCTACTGTTCACTTGCATACTTTTAGGTTAACGATAAAATATATACAGACTTATGTCTAGTGCACAAATGTCTACTTTCGTCATGTAAATCTAAATTACAAGTTGTAAGTATAGGTAATCACTCTATGTTTTTTAGAAAGCCACTAAGTAATATATTCAGAAGATGGGCAGAAGTCTTCTCGAGCTTTTCTACTGCGATCCCTCCCCACTAGTCGGATGAAACGACAGCATTTTCGCTTTTAATAGAAACTCATGTCTAAAACTGAATAATATAATATTAATAGGGAAGTTTTAGTAATTAAACAAGAAACCATCAAAGTCGTAAAGAAAATCGCAACACTGTGATTGTATACTTTCAATGCGGCGATTAAATTTATGGTGACCACTATCAACTGACATTGCAACGGGTTTTATCAGTAGCCGTATAATTTCTCTCACGCTAGTCGGTACGGGAAGCGGTTTCACTTTCCTTCAGGCTTGGTCATCGACATCTGACTATAAGTAACCAATTATAGAAAATTATTATTAGTCCTATTATACAATACTATTTCCTACTTATACGTTTAAGCATATAATTTTAAAATGAAACAATATACATATTAACGACGAGTAATACATATTAACTGCTATCCCGTAAAACCCGTAAAAATATACATCCTTTCAGGAAAGTAACGTTTCCCTCGATAACTTATTTTCATCTCTCGTCTTTTTTTTAACAACCCCCACCGATATCTTTTAGTGTTGGCATTTTGTCTCTTTTTTATTGATTATACCCAAATCGAATTGGTAACCTGTTCTGATAGTTATTGCAAGCAGCAATAACCATTTCAAATCAAATAACCGATTACATAGCTTTTGCTAACATACTGTTCCTAGTAATATTCTAATTTTTTCAAATGTTTTGTCCTTTTTTGCTAAATCACGTATTGGCCCTGCTGAAAAATATGGTAGATCCAAAAATAAGCCGCATTCGAGAACCACGTTCTGATAAAAGTATGAAAGTAATTTTCTATACATTAAAAACTTACTGTTCTCATGGTTACTCTTCGCAATAAATAATCATCGCCAATTGCTTACACCAAGCGAGGAAACACTATAAACACAGTCTAGACTATAGAGTGATAAAATACTCAAGTAATGCCATTAGAAAATTATCTAGTAAGGAAATCATATGCAACTATTTTGACACTACTTAGTTCAAAGACAAGAGGAATTAAGATTTGTAAAGAGAGTTATTTATAGTAAAACGCCACTCGGTCAAGGATCTATATTATTTCCTATTCAAAACATGTCTTATCTACTTTATTTTTTTATCAATTGGTTATCGTACAAAAGCGTATTAAGGATTTCGCCATCTACCATAAAGCGTAATCAACATTATGTACACTGACTGTTTAGTGACATTATAACGCTAGTATTGAATTTTATAGGTTAGACAAGTTATCTGACCTTTTGGAATAATCTCTCTCTTATCTTATCTTGTGTTTTCTAAATGTAGAAGCCAATTATTCACCCTAAAACACTAACTTTAAAAGTGTTGGGGACGATTGTTTATTAAAAGTTGAATGTCCGATGCACCTGTCTTGAAAGAACCGGACGCCCGAGTTAAGACCTCCTCCAAATACACACGAACAAAAAACCAAACGAGTTTTGCGGAAAAAAAGGACGAATTCCGAACAAACTTAATGGTACAAACCATGATGAGATATATGAAAGAAAATAATGAGAATGTTGTAAAGGCCCATAAGAGAATTAATAAATGATTGTAATGTCTACATATTACTTGAATGCCTCAAATCAATCAATGCTAGGCGTAGGCAGTTAATATTCCATTTTGTCATTTTCAATGACACTAAGGACTGAAACAAACATGTGTATTATGCAGGTAAGCGCTTTGCAAATATGTATTGTATAAGTAACCAATATCTAGCATAAAGTATCAGTTTCTTTCTATCATTAATATTAAACTGTGCAACCGTTGGAGTGGATGGCACGATGGCGATGTAAAACTTAGGAAATATGAGGAGTGAGACTGCTCTCGTCTGCGGGACTGTGGTTGACGGACACCAGTGCCCCAGACAGGATTTGCTGACAGCCGTCGCAAACCAAGTGCAATCGATTTGTACTAAATACGATGAAACATACTCATGGACGCCACACGCAATCGATGAGGAGCAAAGATATTTCTACCAATAGATCGTGAATAACATGCGAAATCACAAGGCTTCAATGAGTAAGGATAGGACCTTTTCGGCGTCCAGTCAAAGAAAATCAATTAAATGTTCGAATATGTAAATGTAATATGTATTTAAAATAAAATTTCAAATGTTATAATGTCGGTTAAAATGGAAATGCCAAAATAAGATTGCCGTAAGACATTCCTCTTTTTTGTTTTCTTCTCGTACAGGAACACCAAGCCATATTAAAAACAACTCGTTAAGTGCGAATAAAACTCAACCGCCTAATGACTATTTCGTACAGTTAACAAATAAATAAGTCATACTACCCCAAAGAACAAATATATTAAATACGGGCTTATATTCGAATAACAAAATATGATATTTCCATTTATAGGTATGTTGTTAAAAAATTGCACCAGTCAGTATTTTCCAATATTGCTTACAATAATTCTCCTCATTTGTCATAAGATTCTGCAGGCCTATATCAAATATTTATGATAGAAGCGCTGTTAGCTCTACCTTATGTTATTTTTGCTGAAGTAAAAACACAATATGATTTTAATAATTATTATAGTGTTCAAATGGACACGACTCGTCCATTAAATATATCAAGTGTTTGCGGTTTTAGTTTATTACTCGGTTTATATATTTCCGTGAAAAATAACTGCCTTTTAAAGTCGGTATTCAGGTGATTATATTTCGTGTCATTAAAGCAATCAAGGTTACTACCTTGTAAAACATCGTAGTTTAAAATTATGTAATTTCATAAAACTTTTATCGTTCTTTAACATTTAAATATAATATATGGGAGAAAGGGTAACTTTTACGTTATAATAAAATACAGCTTTTTGAGAGCGAGAGAAAGAGAATGCGAATAAAAGCAATATGTACTGTGCAAACGACTACTATATAAACGATACCTGTACCATTTACCTACTTATACATTTAACATTATGGTTTTTCTTAAGAGCTGAAAGAAAAATCTTGCGGAAAATTCTGGGACAGACTCAAAGGCAGGATGGGAGTTGGAGGGCAAGGAAGAACCTTGAAATTGAAGATCTGATGTCCGGGTGCGAATATTGTGGGAGAAACTAAAGCTGCGAGATTTTTCTGGCTCGGACACGTGGAGAGAATGAGAGAGGTTCGTGCCGCGAAGAGAGCTAATTTGAAACGACCAAGTGGACGCCGAGCGGTCGGACTTCCTATGTGCCGCTGCACTGGAGCGATGAAGTCCAGAAAAACTCCAAAGACCTCGGTGCTAGTGGCTGGAAGAAGCGAAGGTGTAGCAGAATCTGGTGTCGGAGGCCAAGACCCACTTTGGGTCACTGCGCCACCGAAGTAAATAAGTTAACAGCCGAGCAAGCCTATGCTCATATGTGATATTATGTGAAGCAATGATAGCCTCCACATTCTGCACTACGGATTCTCTTCGATTGTGCACAGTTAGTTATCACTTGTTTTGACGGTGTTGGAAAACATCGGTATGAAACCTGCATATCGGAAAACGTACTCCTAACTGGGGATCGATTCAGAACCTTACGATAACTCAGTTGTCGACCAATTCGATTTGATCTCGTACGATTTCTTTTCATTTAGCCACAACACCCGAATCGAACGTCAAACTGTCGTATTCGAAACCGAACCGAAATGACGTCACACCCGTGCGGTTACTCGAGCTTCTCGACCGGCAAAGGCAAACGTTATTCAGAACACAGTTATCGAATGAAAGTTACCGAACGTCCTATTGTTTACAAAGCAAGAATGTAATATGGAAATCTCTTATTATTTTAAATAAAGTCTGGATTTTGTTCAATTTTATTAATTTATTTTAATGCAAGACTAATGCATTCCTATATTTTAAAAATGTACATAAAAGGACTTTCATTTTTCGTATAATCTATTACACCAATTAACTCCGTAACCGCTGTTGAATAACGATATAGTATCCGAATCCGAATGGAACGTTTAACTCAAATGTTCTGAATAGCTCGGAAAGCGCCCTTCGATTCGAGAACGATATCCAATCGAACGAATCGGTTAAAATATCGAAAGTTCTAAATCGGGGTTCTGGCCAATCCGATAACTGGCATTTGTATTGGGCCAGCGAGCTTGGTGAAGTATGGCTTACACCCATATAGGAGTTAACAATGATGGTAATGACAGAATTTTTACAATGAAAATCCGAAGTGCATTACGATTACATAAAAATTCTTATAAAATAAGTTTCGCGGGAAGTGACCCAACAAATCGGCGGTTGCCTTTGTCAAACGTTGCTAACGATTAGGAAATACAATTTGTGAACATTATTGGTGCCGAGTTTTGTAATAACTATGTCTTCTAAACAGTTGCTTGGTAATCAAATTATTTCGACATTAGTTAGGGTTACCATCAGTTCGGATATGTCAAGCTTTTTGACCTTCCGTGCGAATTTGTCCTTTAGCCGGATTTTTAGGCGTAGGGCACAATTTTAAAAATAAAAGTGTAAATAGAAAAAAGTATCCACCTCGAAATTCTGTAGTAAAACGCTTGTCCATCTCTGTTGGCGCCAGAGAAAAATAAAATTTGTTACTAAAAAGTCCGGACTTTACTCTGAAGACATTTTGAGCGTGAGCTTGAATTATTATTGATATACAGTTATTTCCTAGATTGTGCATATTTATTTTGTGTCTGAGGATCTATTTATAGTCGAGCTATAAAAACAATTGTTATCTCAACACGTTGATTTGAATTGATAGACACAATCGTTTATCACTATAGTCCTTCATTAGTGTGCTTATTGCAAGCAAATTTTTTTTTCTGATCGCATATATGTAATAACTACATATGTCGACTTAAGTATTTTATACATATACAATGTACAATTGAATGTGTGCGTTGAACTAATGATGTTATAGCCGATAAGCGGTCAGATAAACGAACGAAAAACAAGATGATACCACAAAAATAAAGAATTCTATACAATCCAAGCTTGGGGTTCAAGTAACGAGCTTACGTGTAGGTAAGTAATAATAGTAATAACAATAACGCACATACTCATAGTTCTCAGTTACTCGCACTAGGGAAACCCTGTATCGCCAGTACTATGGACACACACATAGACAACCACAAATTACATCCAAACTCATGAGCAGAGATAAAACCCAATCAACTTGGCCGGGTTTTACAGAAACATTATACGCGTCAAATAATACGGAATTCCGTACAATTCCATACTTGATAGAAAATTCGATGTAAAAAATCTTTTTAGACGAAGAAGAGGCACCACAACCACATAATATTTACCCACCTTGTAATTCTGTGGAGTCTTTCTCTCCGTCTCACCTACTACGGGGGAATGGACATTATGACACAATTTTTCTGAAAATCGATTCAAGTGTATACGATAACGTATCTTGTATCAATTCATTTCGATGCGATTTTCAAGTGAATCGATTCAATAGACAGGAAAAATATTATGTAAGGCAGCAATAACATTTTGTAATAATATTATTACATTTAGCATTTGAACAAAACTGGATTTACAAATATTTAATCGAGTAGTTTTTGCTGTCGACTACGGGCGTTAATGGGTTTTAACCCGATTAAACCCCGGGCGCTTGCCCATCTCTGTTCACGAGAGAAATAAATGAAGGCCATAATATAAATTCGGAAATCGATCCCGGGACCTCCGCGTGGCAGTCGAGCATGGTAACCATTCAGCCACGGAGACCGTACCAAGAAAATCTAAGGCTTAAGCATTAAGATCACTATGCGGTAATTGATCAGACAACCTCGGTGACCCACCGGTTAAAAATGTGGGCGTTAAACGGTTCTGGGTCCAATGCCCAGTCTCAGTAAATGAACTTTCTAAATTGTTTCTGGTCTGTTGATGTTCTGGATTGTACCCAGGAATTAATTTCGTTGCTCTCCGATACCCATAACATATGGAATTCCTAATTTTAAGACCAGGTAATTGGTGTGGTTGTCTGGTCATGTCAGTTTGAGTTATCTATTTTTGATTCTCGCCTGTCCTACCCCCTAAAAGTAAGTTACCTGTCTGGGGTCTCTAGAATCGGCAAATTTATTTTCTTATTCTTGTTAGGAAATTCATAAGTTAACAACACTATTAAACCGTAATAATATTAAAGCCGTTATAGCCTAATGGTTTCACCTACCGCCTCTCAAGCAGAAGGCGTGGGTTCAAATCCGGGCTTGCATCTCTAAGTTTTCGAAATTTATGTGCGAAATTTAATTTGAATATTACCATATCCTCAAAGCAATTTAATGATGTGTGTGAAGTTCCCAATATAAGAACGCGCGTGGAGAACTATAGTCTAAGCCCTCCCATTGTGAGAGGAGACCTATGCCCAGCAGTGGAACTATATAAATGTTAACTATTAATTAGAAACTCTAGCTGACAGGACGAATGTAACATTTTTAACGTTTAAATAGGTCCTAATCAAAACAAAGCAAACTCTATACACTCAGCTATATTACTAAGTATGCACTAGTACATATCAGGCAGAGGTTCCTCTTTAGTATCATGTATGTATCAAAATGGTCGCTCTCACTTTTACATTTGTCATAATCACTCACACCTCCCCACACACACGCACTCACAGACACATTGTATGTTTTTAATTTTGCGATATTTTGAGTTAAGTAAAAAATTAATTTAATTTTTAATTATTGTAATTGAATTTAATTAATTAAAAATTTATCTACAGCTCCTTGTAATTAGGCACCTACAAATTACTGTTTTCACGACACATCACTGACTACTAAGATACAAGTTTTTTAGTTTTGGAGCCAGGGAAGCTTTTATTGTTGTGTGTGTTGAACTGTACCTACGCAATGTACCAATGCACCAAGTGCTGTTTTGGTGAATAAGTATTATTATTATCGTTATTTTTGTTATTGTTATTATAATCATGTTTTTTTACAACAATTTAACGTTCACAATTCAAATTAACAATCAATTCAATTTAACAACAAACAATTTAACGTTCATAAGTGTCAAAACATATTGAACATTGCTCATTGTAAAAAAATATATATAAGTAGGTATAGTAAATTTCGTAAGACGGAGAAAATTATATTTTTTTTATTTATATAGACTATTTTCGAAGTGAGAGTTAAGGAGCATTATTTGTCCCCACGTCTATTTGATAGGTATAATATTATGAAATATTTATGTTATGTATCTAAGTATTTATACTGTTTATAACAATTTTATTTTATTGATATTGTTTGACATAATTATTGTTTTTTTTTTGTGCACGTAAACCCGTTATTATAATTATTGTGTTCTGTATTTAGATCTACAGGAAGACATTTCTTTTAGAAATAAGTAGATCCTTTTGTTCGTATTTTCCGTTCGTTTAATGTGATTTGTGATTTTCCTGTACATTAAACTATTAAATAAATAAATAGATTGAAGAACAATGCAAATAAGTAATAAGTGACACTCACCTGGGGTTTCTCTGTGTTCCTTAACTTGATTCATAATCTTCTTCTCTTTGTGTTTCGATAATGCCTTTTGTAGTTCGCTCTTTTGGTTGAGGACATTCTTACCTCTAAAATGGCAAATAAATATTTATTTAATCAATTGTTTTTGTTTTCAATTCATTAACCTTAAACAATGTTAAAGAAACAATACAATTTGTGTAAATAATGATAAGGGTTCGACACCCTCGTCGCAAGCATGCTGCTTAAGCACTGCGTCTGTATTGCACTTCTGTTTTATAATGACGTGTCTTCAGCAGAGATCAGTATCACACGTGCTGATACAAACGCATTTTTTATTGACGCGGTGTTGAAGCGTACAGGCAAGAGTGTGTTCCAACACTAAGATCCCAAGTGGAACCAAGTGAAAGTGAAACGGGAAAGACTTGAAATATGAATGAATATATCGAGTGGAAGTTTGAAATTTCTTAAGGAATCTTTTGTCGAAATGGAAAATGACCCTTACCACAAAATATCGCTTACAATATTTCAAATTACGATACATCGACGAAATTATTACCCTTATATCGACGGTGGAAATTTGAAATGTCCTAAAATACATTTTGTCGTAAGGTCATTTTCCCTTACGACATTTCAAATTTCCATCATCGATATGCTTTTCAAAAGGATTTCATGAATACACAGTAGATCTAAAAGTTCACAATATAAGTTTAAATATGTCAATTTTGAAATAAAATCCAGGGTCACTGATTTTCTTTTCTCACATTCTCGGTAATAAAAAAAAATATTTTCCCTATCAGATTGTTAACATCAGTTGTATGTAGTTTTACACCTAAAACTACATACAACCAATGTCCTGTACTCCTACGATTGAATGCATCACCGTCCTATTTGTTACTAACATAATTTTCGACACTCGCTTATCATCACACATGTTCTCTACGTTAATTAGATAAATAGATTTATAACCACATAATTACATTAGTGCGATTATACGCCTAGTCGCATTTTTATTGATAAAAATTCATTAAATTATCAGGCAATGTTTCACTGTTAATACCTCTAACACAGACTAAGGCGATTTATCGAATTAAAGCTTGTGATAATTTCACAGCGAGTTCAATAGGAAAGTATGCAGGTTTCAGTAGGAATGTATGCAAGTGGTTAAAGTAATTTCGCATACACTACCGACATTTGACCTATTTACAATAAACGTTTTTAGTGTATCTTAACAAGTGTGTTTTGTGTGAGTCGTATTGAACCGCGCTGTACCCTCATAGATTTCCCACGCTAAAGTCGGTTGCCTGCATTGCAACTGCATAAACACGCACTTAACGCTATTTGCTTGTGACGTCAACAGTGGCTGCCTTGTTACATGATATATTGTCTTTTGTTTGTGAGAATATTAAACGGCTTATTCATTCATGGAAATAACAAGGCCCAAGGTTATTTCGATCTCTAAAGAGGAGGAGATATTCTGATTACAGAGTTAAACGCCGAAAATATTATTTCAAAATCTTTAAATAGGAATGCAATCACAAAATCCACCGAAGCAAAACATCCGAGGATTAGTCCCGAGAGAGCTGCGGCTGCGGCAGGAGGTAGCGGGCGGCGGCGTGACGTTGAAATTACGCGACGTTGAAATTGGCGCGCTATTAGCACGAGCTCCTCACAATTTAATTCCAACTAATGGCTGTCGGCTTCACGGCGCATCGATGCCGCTGCCTAGGTCCTCTCTGATGAAATGTAATTCTATTTACATATTGGATTCAGGCCACCAGACAACCCGTATCTCAGACTAAATCAAGTTCGCAATCAGCGAACTCTCTGAAGCGCGTAACACACATACTTCGGCAAATAGCCCTAGCTGCCCGTTTATCAACTTCACAAATCTTATTGCTTCCACTACACAGAATGATTGCTATTTTCGTAATGAAAGTGCATCGAATCTTGAAGGATTACCACGGCGATGATTAGAAATTCATGAACGAGGAATTGCGCGTTGTAGAATTTCTGCACTGGTTCAGACAGCGGTTCTAGTCAATTGGTTTCATGTAGTAATCACAGGGGCTTTGTATCCGTATTCATTATATTTCGATCGTGCCCTATTTTCTACACAAATTAGTAATGGAAGTAACCAAACTACTTGTATTAATTGTAAGTGCAACACCGCCAAATGGCATTCATCTGAGTTTAGTAACGTCTGTACAAGTATGTGTAAGTACATCTCATGGTCTGCAATCACGCTGCTTGGGAATTACATCCTTCCGGCGGCTGCGGCGCTCGCGAACGCGGAAATGACAGGAACTAGATGGCTCCGGTAATCGCATTCACAGGGAATTGGACAGAATCAACAGGTCAATTCGTCTGTACAGTAATTTCATACTTATCCATTACTTTCTCTGCCGTAAGCTTTGATCATAAATATTCGATCAAAGACCGAAAGGCGATTTTTTTAATGACCGTACCGAATATTAAACTATAATACGTATAGGTAGCGAATATTCCAGTTGTGTATGTATGCTTGCAGGATAATGATCTTCAATAGGCATCTGGCGTTCAATCGGAATTCTTGCGGTAAGCTCACAAAGACCATAAATAAATAATTATATCAAGTTTTCTTAACGGGTTGAGCACATGTAAACAAGATGCGTGAAACACTCGCATCTCATGTGTTCGGGCGACAGATGTTCAGTAATTGCAAATCGGGTTCACAGCACTCGCGCCTATAGACTGACAGGATGTCGTTGCACCTGTGCGACGAATATTCCTAGCAAAAACTCTATAACAACATCCGTTACAAAATCCTTAATATCCCATCTTGAAAGTTAAAACGAATATTTTAGGAATTTCACTCATAGGCACCCATTCACAATCATCAAAAAATCCCGAGTGTTCATAATAGCGTTGAAAATGCTTACAAAAAGTGTACCCTTCCCTATCAGTTCCCATACATTACAAAGGAATTCCGGCGCCACTAATTTATTATTGTCGGTTCGTAATTCTTCAAGTATTTTCGGAAAGCACGTATAGAAAAGTAAATGCACGTAGTTATATGTATGGATAATTACCTAAATAGGTTTTGAAATTAGATATTTCCGATTTTGTCCCGATTTTATCCCGATTCTACGAACACCAACCCGCAAACGACGAAACGTTTTATAACTGACTTAAATCTCCTTTTATTGAATAATAAACTCTACGGTGCAGTGTAGAGGAATTTCTTTCGAAGAAATTGTAATTTTATTTTATTTGACGTCGTGGTATTTCGACAATGTTTTTACTTTAGGTATTGATATTTTTAGTTATTCTACTTTTGTTTGTGTGTGTAATATTGTGACATGAATAACATGAAATAAATTATCTAATCTAATCGTATTAGAATTAGATTATAATAGTTTTTATATGAATATCAAATCATAAATGTGTAATTTCTGGAATACCTAATTTGGTATTTTTATATTTTCATATTTATTTATCAAGATTATTCCTTAGAATGTCTTTAATATTATTAAAAGTGGGAACGCTATTCTTGACAAAAACAATAGATACGCCGACATTTGCCGTTTTCACAAAGACTATCAAACGAGGTTTTTCAGGCACAAAGTGCTCTTAAGGAGTCCTGCGCTCCTTCAGATGACAATGGACAAAGGTGACGATAGAATAGGCTGATGCTTGAATTTCTCAAAGAGAATGTTATCTTGCCGTGGGAATTTCAAGATTTTCAAGTATTTTGCCATCCTTTTAGAATACGAGAAAACGGAATACATAACTTTGAATATATTTCACATGCGTTTTGTTAAATATATTACATGAGTAAGTAATAATATAGGGACATATGGGAATATTTGAAAGTGGTCACAGAGCAGGATTTTCGACTTTTCTGCCTATCGTCATAATTACACAAATCAAACATCATTATAGTATACTTTTTCACGTCGTTAGATTGACGCGATACTGCCATAACTACATTACCCTCAAGTCTTATCTCAAAACCCACACGAATATAAGGAAAGTTGTTAGCAATTCTAATATTTATCGCTTGACCGCGAAAACAGTGCAGTGCATCGGAGATGTTTATAGGCTTTGCAGCTATTATGCGAAAAAAAGCTGCTTCCCTGGTGCATACAGTTCGCGGCAGCGACAACAGCCTTCTGAGTAGTCCAGGGTTCTTTTCATTATCACTGGACCCGGTTGTATATTAGTTTTAGAATAAAATGTTATTTGTACTAATTCCATTTTTAAGTGCTTTGTTACTAACCTCTTTGGATGAATATTCCGAAATAAAGATATTTGAATTTGAAAACAACCCTTCCTATATAGTATATAGTTTGCGTAACGCGGAAGGAAAACGCTCTCGTCCGATCATTTTCCCAAAGTGTGTACTTACATCCTCTGATTAAAAAGTAGCTCCCGATGCAAGTCCATCCGCAGTGAACTTTCAAGGCAAGGGTTCGGTAGGCGACGTGGAGTGATGAGCCCATCGTCGCCCCCCGCGCTCTCCCCCTGCACCATCTCCACGTCGGTGCCCAGCGTCGACTGGGTGATCAGCGTGGGGACTATGCCCACGCTGCGATCTGCCGTCAAACCGTTCGTTTGTATTACTGAAACAACGAAAATTACAGAATGAGTAGCTAAAGTTGAAGTCTACGTTGTTTTTTATGACACCAAGTGACGAGACGAACAAGTCGTGCGCCTGGAGGTATGCGACACGCCCGTCCATAGCGGTTACAGCGCCACTCAGAGCTTTAAATCGCAAAGATCTGAGGCGCACTGCCACCGCGCGCGTCGTCCTGTGACATAAGTTGACAGTTATAGTGCCTGTAATTTCACCAGCACCGTTACCCTTACAATACTGCTTGGCGTCAGAAATAGGTAAGGTGGCAGAACTTCCTTGGGCGAACTCTTCCACAAGGAGCTCTACCGCTGTTAAATATACTATGTTAAGTAGAAGCAAAGCTCATTTTATTTATTTTGTTGGAAACTGGCATTCAATTCGCAATGCGGAAGGTCGATTTGAAATGGAAGCTAAATTCTGCGCTCGTAACGAAAAAAGGCACAACTATGCGTACTTTACACAGCAGTTGTGCCTTTTTTCGTTCCGAGGGCAGAATTAGCGTCCTACTCCTATTAGTAAATTGATAAAACTCTAAAATCTCTAAGAGGAAAATATGAAATCCTCCATTTGTTACTAAAAAGCAAAGGCAACGGCCAATTTGTAGATGTTTTTACAGTTTAACCTTGAAGCGTTGTTGCTATTCCTAGCGAACACGTGTGGGAACAAACGTTAAATTTAATGAATAACGGATATTGTATAGAGCTTTAGATTTTGAATCAATAAGGTGTGTGATAGATATACGTGTATATAATATAGTATAGTTTATGTAATATATTGTACGTAAGTTATATTACATAACCCACAAAATTCCTCTTCAATTTTGTTCTTCGGGATAAAATAATAATACAAATTGACGTTTAAGAACACACGATGTTGATTATGTAACTTCTAATTTTATATTTCGTCGTTTCATTCTTCAGATACAAACATTAACTAGGTAATCCTTTTAACCTACAAGGCACTTTATCTTCGAATGACTCGACTTCATTTACAGACGGCAACACACCAAGCTACACATTGACGGATCTTGTTCCGTTGCACGATAGGCGATATTCGAACAAAAGGCATAGCTTGATGTGCTGTTGACGTAATAATGATCGAACTTCACTTCAACAAGTTAGTTTAATTTTATATTGTTAAACTAATTTGACAGATCTAAAAGATCTATTGGTTTAAAAAGAACAACATATTTTGACAATGAAATTTTAAATTAATTTAAGTTATTACAAAATTACGATTCACAAAATTGACAACAATCGTTACGTAGTAGATGAAAACAGACCAAAAGAAGTTATGGAAATCGGAAACAGCAACGGTACCATAATCGCCCAGACCCGAGACAATCCAAAAAAGTTAAGTTCTTTTTACATTGGCCCGGCCGGGGATCGAACCCGAGACCACAGAGATGGCGACACCATGAAAACCGGTGTGCAAGCCATTCGATCACGTAGTCTGAAACGTAAATGTTGGAATAATACTATATTATTAACTAACGAACTGGATATAAAACGCACATGGCACAGGTACACAGACAATAAAAAAATGAATCATTATTTAACGTCAGTAACATGATGTCATCAGGATCTTAAATCATTATCAATTCTATACATGAACAATGAATCCTGTCTTGAAAAATATTGTGTTTTAACAACACGTTATATCATCACAATGTAAAATAATGTTAAACATAATAATTTTCAAGTACTTAAGTACGCACATACTGAAATAATTACAATATTCAAACAATTCATAATAATAACAATTTTGTCTCCACGTTTTTCGTTAACCTGAATAGTACTATCAAATACTCAACGTAAACGACTGCGTATCTACGGCAATTACAATTGATTAACGCGATCCTACACAACATATGTACAATACGCTCAAACCATGACTATGTATAACAAATGGCAAGATGCTTATCAAATTAATAACAGCATCAACTCAATTTAATCAAACTGAATACATACATTTACGAGTACAATCGATTAGAATACCAAACTTATCCACTGACACAAATTTTGTACTACGTTTTAAAACACGAACGTTTAACGAATTGTTTTATCACAGTGGTCAACAATAACTTCCTGGTTGGCCGCTAATAAACATAAATGTGAAGTTACACAGATTTGTCACAGATGGCGCTACGGGAAAAGAGTCGTTAAAAACTCAAAACAAAGATCTGCAAGAAGCACATAGAAAAATTCGTAAGGTCTGCTAGTTCGTTCCGTAGCTCAGTTGGGACAGCGTCAGGCACAGTATGCTGAAGGCGCTGGTTCGAATCCAGCCGGATCGAACAAATTTTTCTTAGTGTTCGATCTTTGTATTAATAATTATAACAAACTTGTGGAGTAATTTCACGAGAAATAATTGAATGTCATGGTAGTGAAAAAGCGTCAAATTTAATAAACTTAATATTAAAACATAATATGAATCCAAATAATTTATTAAATTGACTTGTGGTTTAGGAACTTTGAAATTGGTATTTTCTCAAAACAGTAATCTGTTAAAATTTAAGTACATATATATATAAGTAGTACGAAACAAAGGCGCAAGTGTGGATTCCAACGACGAATGACCTCGTTCTAGTTCTTCGCAAAATGTAGAGTGATTGAAATGCGCTGGTTCCCCAGATCTTATACGTAAAAGCTTATATTCCTATACCTGGGTTCAGTTTTGTAAAGATGATTGCAGCTTGCGAAGATACAAGTGCCCTACTGCATAATGTTAAAATAGAAGCTATTCTTGGTAGGTATCAGTACAATCCCAACTCGACCTGTATTAGTACAATTTCGCCTCTCGTCCTGCCTCGTTATCGCGTCATGTCCTCATTTCTGCCACTCTATACAAACTGAAGCGCTCGAGTTATGAACTTTTAAATTTTCATTTGTTCTCTTGCCCTGCCCGAGCGAAGCTCAACTTTTAAACTACAGTTCAGTTTCGCAGTAATACGTCCATTGCCTACTTATTATTGCGGGCGTAGAATTCCATTTCAATTTTAAACGATAATAATTCCAGGCACCCCATATGAGCTGCTTATATAATATGAAATCATAAATGTTTCAACTTGCATCGTATTTTCAAGTATTTAAGTAACATGTCGAAGTTACACGAAATGAAACAAAAAGCATCGGATGTCGGGAATTATTGAGAAACTTGGGTAGTGTATTGAATTATTAGAAGAATTACTTAATTATTATAGAAGAATTACTTAACCATGTATAGATTATCGGTTCACGCTAACTCGTACTTCTCGTACGTATAATTTTTGGATGTTCATTAAATATACATATTGTGTTCATATGAAATATTTGCTTTAAGCACCTCTTATACACATAATGTTGTAATACAAATCAAACAGTCGTTTTCGAAAAAGAGCATTTGGTTGACCCTAATTCATCCATAGAAGGAGGTCAAAATTTATCGCACAAGCGCGAGCCACGACTTTTGCATAACACAACATACGTGACTTATCGTTTACGTAATGACACTTAAGATTTGAAGATAATACCTACTGAGGTAATTTAAATGCACCTTTGAATTAAGAACGAATACTCCATACTAGATGGATTACTGCATATAATATCTCTCCTTGTCAATACTAGGAGAAAATTTGCAGTGGAATGTCAACACCTAAACGACATCCTGGATACATCTATTTTTTAGACAACAATACAATATAATACAAGACAACATCACATACGTTGCTCTGATCCTAAAGTAAGTAGCTAAAACACTTGTACTATGGAAATCGGAAATAACGACGGTACCACAAACACCCGGACCCGAGACAATATAGAAAAGTTAGTATTCTACACTGACCCGGCCGGGGCTCGCACCGGGATCTCAGAGATGGCGACACCATGAAAACCGGTGAGCAAGCCACTCTATCACGTAAAATTTACATTCAATGGAAGACAACATTATTACATTATATTATAGTAAAAAAACCGATAAGTCACTCAATAAATGGCACTCGGTATAAATTAAATCTACACTCTTCTTTGAAAAAAAAAATGGGCACCTTTCGGGTATTTCAAGTATGACGCGGTATGGCACAAGAAAACGAATTCGCTTATAGACTGTCAGTGTTGCAGCAGTAACAGCATCCTGACGATGATATCTAAGGAATTTGGATGTCCTTTAATGTGAAAACACACGCAAAGGACGTAATCATTGTTAATTATTAAGTAGTAACTTAGACTTAACGTAGGCGTAAGAGTTACTTACACAATTGTGGACTTATTACGTTGTCTGAATATATAATAAATGAATATAATAAATTAACGTAAGGAAATGACTACATAATGCAACAAAATGAAACAAAAAAATATTTACCAAGATAAAACCTTTTGATATGTAAATTAGCCTTTCTTAATTTGATTTTTTACCTTCTTTTGTATTTCCACGTTCCAAAAAAAAAATGTTTATTTGGCATCATAAGTGCAAAAAAATCCTTTATTAAACAAACGTATTTTCGTGGCATGATTTGAATGAAGTTTTTGTGATTTCTTGGGAAACACGTTCATATTCAGATGTAATGACAGTTTTAAGGTCCCGTGAACAGTTGAACGACTGACACCAATCAGTTCCACCTTATAACATTAAGTAAAGCCTTCTTCAAGAAGAATCACTGCATTATTAGCGATTATTGTGCCATAGTACGGGATAAAATTTGTCAGGAAAAACAAATTTTAACACTTGGACAGCAATATCAATAAAATAAAATTACTTAAATAATATATACAATTTTCAATAAACAAAACAACACCCCACCAACCAACCCCAAACAACGCTAACAAATATTTTCATTACAATCGATTTTATTTTAATAAATTTTCGAATTTGGTATGTTTTATTTTAAATTAACGTGCTCAATAATGCGTAGATAAATGTGTCCTATTATTCTTATGTATATAAAACTTCTTTTTTTATAAAATTTGTATGGTTGTAAAGAAAAATTGTAGATGTCCGTTAATTTTGCAA